TGACCTGAGCTGAAGGCAGACACTTAACCATCTGAGCCACCCAGGTGCCCTGGTCTTTTGCTTTCTACCAGTGCAAGAACACAGCAATACATTTATTCTTTTTAGGCGACGAAGACAGCCTTACCAGAACCTAACCATGCTGGCACCCTGATCTTAGACTTCAGCCTCCAGAATTGTAAGAAAATAAGATTCTGTCCTTTAAGCCCAATCTATAGTATTTTGTTATGGCAGCCCAAGCTGACTAGTATAACTTATATTATATAGTTCAACTAAGCTTTATTGTAGTTCTAACAATGGAACTATTGGCTATTAGCCCAACCTATAATAAAAAAATAGCATTTTGTTTCACATTTTGCTACTATTTTTTGTGGGTGATCTACTTAAAGGCACCCTTTGGTGGCTAGTATAATTAGCAAGAGAAGATATGTACACTTGTACCCTGGAGATGAGTACTATTAAATATTATAAACTATACTCCTGAATCTACCAATTCTGTTACTACAATAGGCCAGACAATCATCCTTTTCGGTTTGGGTAATTTCCAGGTTCTTCCAAGAGATTATGCTATTCACTTTCTCTACCAGACATATTAATCTCAAATTATACTTTAAAAAAAAAAATTTACTCTGTATAAAAATCATCAAAGCTGAAGTACTTTCACTGTTTATGAAATAAGTTTCAGTTTGAAAGCTTCACACTCATGATCCTCTATAATCTGGGCCTAATTTACATTTCCCACATATAATAAGTACTCAGTACATAGTTATCTAATGACCTTATCACTCTTGCCTTGTCCCGTAGTTTATCCTGTGATCGACTCGCTACCCAAAATGCCTGTCATAATCCTACATATCTTCCTAGAACGAATACAAAATGTATTTCTTACAAGAAACTTTTCCAATTCCAAACCACGTGGACATTTTCCCTATAATTACTCTGCCTCTTTTGACTGAAACATTTCATTCTAGCAGTGTATGCATTGGGGTATGTGAATATGTATTCGTAGCATTTTTTTTATATCTATCAACTCACCTAGATTGTAAACATCTGTAGAGCGTCCACTCTCTATGTTCAGTATTCTTCATCAGTCCTTTCCTCGAAACTCAGTCCCAGATAATCTCTCTACTTTGAATATTTAGTACAAGTTTCCTATAGTTTTCATTTGGTCATTAATTATATCCAATATGCTATTAATTTGCTATGTGTTATTATATTCTCCACATGCTCTTGCTCTATTAACTACATTCTAAATTCCTTGAGGTCACAGGCTTTTATTCATTTAATGTCTAAAACTGAACTATGTAAAATTTTATGTATGTGAGACATAAAATTATAGCCTGGAGGGCAAAGGGCTAGAAGACAGAAGACCTCAGTTCTATTCCTTGGTTTAGCTAACCAACCATTCATGTTAGAAGTCTTTTAATAAATCTTTCTGAGTCTTTCTAAAATAAAGTTGTAGTGAGAGGAGATTGTTAAGATCGTTAAAAATTTATTTTTTTATATTGGGCCATGGTCTGCCTCTTCTACAGTGTCCAAACTGATACACTAAGAGATGAAGTATGTCTCTCTTTAAAAAGAGGATGGGAACAAAGAAGACCTCTAACAACTAGAAGCAGCCAGTGGAATATTTGAATATGACAAAGGTTATATAAAGATTACGAATTCTTCCAGAGAATATTCTTGGCTTTACTTTATTGCTTTTTAGGTGTTGGTTTACCCACCTATGTGGGTAAGCATGGGTTATTAATCAGGGTTCTCCAGACAAACAGAACTGATAGGATGTATGTATGAACACATATATGTACACATGTGTACACATATGTATTGATGTGCATATATACATATGTGCATAAAACATGTCTATATGGAGTGTGTATACACATATATATGGAGAAAGAGAATTATTTCAAACAACTGGCTCACATGATTGTGGAACCTTTCAAGTTCAAAATCTGCAGGGCTATGCCATAAGGTTGGAAATCCAGGGTAGAGTTACAGTTTGAGTCCAAAGGCAGAATTCCTTCCTGCTCAGGGAAAGATAGTCTTTGTTCAACTGACTGGATGAGGCCCACCCACAATATAGAAGACAATCTGCCTTATTTAAAGATGACCAATTTAAATGTTAATTTCATCCAGAAAACACCTTCACAGAAACATCCAGAATAATTTCTGACCAATTATCCAGAAACTGTGGCCAAGCCAAGTTGACATATAAAACTAACCAACACACATAGATTCTGTCCTTAATAGAAACAAAGAGTAATTCACATAATTTTCTTTTATTTCATTCATGGACAGTTTATCAGTCCTCTCTTTCCTGATCTGAAACTTGAGAGAGTAGAAATCCAATGCCTTCCCTTGCCATTCTCAACAGGCTGACTATTCTTATTAAGAAAAAGCAGTTAGGCTATGGTATATGGATCTCAAGTCAGATAATCTATTCACATATCCCAACCCAGTATCTATTCACTGTAACTTTGAAAAAGTCACTTAGTCTTATGGAATTTCTATATCTTCAACATGGAAATGGTAAGAATAACATTTACCTCATGGATAGGTTATGAGGACAACATAAGACTATATGGAAAATGGTATGAATAGTAACATATTAACCCTAACCATTATATTTTAAATAAAACCTCTCTGCCTACTCAAAAGAACTATTTTGAAAACCACACCATTCACTCATATCCTATTCAGTCATTTAGCAAATATTTATTGAATACCAATGACTGAAGTATTGCACTAAGCTTCTGAAAAACAACAATGCCCTATGAAAATGTAGATTATCAAAAGCACTGAATAGTTAATATCCCGTATAGTTATTATCAACTCAAGTACAGCTGGGCATGGGATGGAATAACTTTTAGTAATAACACTAGGTCATTAAACTGGCACTACTATATACTTATAAAGGGATCTTAGGTTAGGTTCCCCAGAAGCAGGGACTGAGAAGGGGATTCTTGCATAAGTGATTTGTTAGAGATGACTCCTCTTGAGTGAGAGAAACAGGTTAGGGCAGTAAGAGGATAAATAAGCAAGGATGTGGTCTTATATGAAGACTGGCTTCAGCTCACCTTGAATCAGAGGCTAGCTTGTTGTACCCAAGAGTCTGTCTTTGGCTGTGAGATGCCCTTCTGATGATGAAGGCCATAATCTCTTAGGTATGGCAGTACTCTTCATAAGGAAGGCAATTCTTTAGAGAAGGAAGTAGCTAGCTTTGGGTTATCAGCTAACATTCTCAACAGCTGGGCTGGATACACCTTCTAGTAAAGGGGATTTGAAACTGGCAATAACAACCTCTGCTACAAAAGGACACTGATGTTCATAATAACAGAGGCACTGCAAAGGTGTTAAGAGCTCTCCAAATTCTTGAAAAAAAAAAGAAAAGAAAAAGATTGACATTCACTGTCATCTTTTACAGTTTTGAAAACTGGTCCTTCCTTCAATTATATATAAATTAAGTTCCTATGAATACTATTATTTTATTATCTGGAATTTCTCTTTCTTATGAAAATACAAACTTTATTTTGTTTTGAAAACAGAGCCAGAGGAAATCTTTATTTCTGTTTTCTTGATTAACTGTTAGCTGCTAAGAGACACAGTGTACTTAAGGCTTAAGCAATGCTATGTTACTTAGAAACAGTAAGCAAACAATTGTTGGATTCATACTACAAAATTAGATAGACAATATAGTAAATTTATTCTAAATAAGAAGTATGTTCTAAGTAAGAAGTAAATAGAATAGTGTACTTTCTATGTAAAACTGTAATAAGCAATTTTTCTAAAAAGATAGGTTTGCAAATGTAGACATTTGAAATAGTTTATGGCAGATAACTCTAATAATATGCATAGCTACAATGAAAATTAAAGCTTTAGTTTTTCCCTTTTACCCGTTTGTTCTTAAAACCAAGTAATCAATTATATTAGTAATTGCATATATTCATAGGGTGAATTCTCATACAGCTGTTTTCATTAAAAGGTAGCTGGAGAAACTATAGTATCTAATAATTGTTTTAAGTAACAGACCCATAAGCCCATAAGGCTTTTAAAATCATAAAGAAGTACCAAGATATTCACTTAGGAGATTTATAATGGAAGACTTTTCCTTTTTTGTCCTTAGTATAAATATCTTAACATCATCATTGACATTACATAACATTTATTTGTAATACATTAGAGCATTTTTAAGAAAACTCTTTTAAGAGCCCCTGGAAACTGCTATGATTCATAAGGCCGGGGGAAAGAACTCGTGATTTTTTTTTTTTCTCTTTTTTTCTGTTTCTCCTTCTCTAGGTGGGAAAAAGAGCACCTAAAACACTTGGCTCTTCTGGCGACAATAGGCAAAAAGCTGAACTTCATAATGTGTCAAAACAGTTCTAGGCATTAGTTCTAATTTGAATTTTTAGAGTTACCCCATAACATACAGGACACTAGAAAAAATATGTTTTTACTGTCCTCCCTAGTCTGTATCTAAATTGTCTTTGTTTTCTTAGGAATATATTTGGTTATACCAATAGAAAAATGCATAAGCAAATACTCTTATTATGTAGAGGTGAAGAGAACCCTAATAAAAACTCAGATTAACAGTTCATAAGAAAAATATATTGATGCACTTGGCAGAATTAAAGTTAAAAATTTCTGTTAAATGAAAGGTGTCATAGACAAAGTTATCAAATATTTCATAAACTGAAAAAAGATTATTAAAATAATCAAAATAGCAAGCAGTTAACATCTAAAATATACAAGGAATTTAAAAATCCATAAGAATAAATAAGAATCCCAATATAAAACATAAATAAAACCAGGAAATTCATTGAAAATCAAATCGGAATTAGCAGGTATATAAAGAGATGCCAAAGTCTTGGTTTTCAACAGATTGGCAAAAATTAGGGGTAGGTCAGCTATTAATGAATTATGGGAAGATGAATGCTCTTGTACATTGTGATGGCAGTACATACTGGTACAACCATTGCAGAGAATAATCTGGGCATACTTACTAGAAATGAATATGATCCAATAATCCATTCCAGGAACACATCCCAGAGAAACTTGAGCCCAGGTTCATAAGGGGATAGGCTCAAAGATGTTCATTGTAGAGGCATCAGGGTGCCCATCACTACAGAAACGGGTAAATAAAATGTGGTATATACATACAGTAATTCAGCACACAGAAGCAATAAACTAGTGTTATATACAGGAGCATGGGTGAACCTCTAAATGAATATTTATTTAAAAATTACAAATTGAAGGGCGCCTGGGTGGCTCAGTGGGTTAAGCCTCTGCCTTCAGCTCAGGTCATGATCCCAGGGTCCTGGGATCGAGCCCCGCATCGGGCTCCCTGCTCAGTGGGGAGCCTGCTTCCTCCTCTCTCTCTGCCTGCCTCTCTGCCTACTTGTGATCTCTGTCAAATAAATAAAAATTACAAATTGAATGAATGCTACAGTATAATGTCATATATATAAATTAAGAACAGATGCACATATAAAATAGTATAACATATGTTTCAAGGAACTACACATATCCAAAGATACCTGTGAGCTTTGAACTTAAATGCAGTTATCATGGTGCTTATAATAAGAGGTTGGTATAGAGTTAAAATGGTGGATGAAAAGTCTAAGTAATAAAATGGTGGAAGAAAGATGACTTTGTGTAGGCAGTTGACATATGTGCTGTACGCTGGTAAGTATTATTAACTCAACACCCTGCATCTGAGATTAAAAATATGTGAAATATAGAACTATAATGCCTGTAATTTATAACTTAGAAAAATTTTACATCATGAATAAATATATTTAATTACTCTTCTTGTTTCTTTACCAACTACCCCCAGAGCATGCCAGACTTCCATTAATTTAACTGTTATGTCATTGTCCCCCTCATCCTCGGTGGTCTTTACATATCCAATGACATCCTTCAAGATATAATTTAAGTTCTACTTCTTTGTAAGACCTTTTAAATTGTTCTATTCAGGCAAATGTCCCCTGATATCTTAAGCTATACCAAACCATCTAAGACTTAATAATATATTGCATATATTGTCCTCTATCTATCACTGTATTATGCCTTGCCCAGGGCTTCCTCTACTAGATGTTAACTGCACAGAAATCAGAGAGACCTCTTTGGAGCTTCCAGTTGTGCCAGGAACAGTGCTGTGCATACAAGAGTATTTGGATTAACAGATTTTCAGATAAGATTTGGGATTGTGGCGGCAAGAGATGGATAGATGGGATCATAACTGAAGGTTGAAAAAAATATATCCTATTGCTGCTGAGAACTACTTTTGGAAGTGGGGAGAATAGAGATCCCTTTTGGAATTGGAGTTTCTTTTGGAACTAGAGGAGAAAGAGTAGAATAATCAATATCACACGGTGAATGAAGTAGCCTTCCAATCAATGAAGGAGATGAAGCTTGCTTTAACTTCCTCTTTCTTTTCTTTTCTTTTCTTTTCTCTTCTCAGTGTTTCCTTATTTATTACTACCACTATTTTTTTTCTCTGAACACTTAAAAATTTTCTTTTTATTTTAATCTACAAAATAAAACTAGTAAGAGCCAACGCAGATGTGCTTCCTCCATCTTGGGAAAACTGTTCCATAGTTCTTCTCCCTTTTTAGGGGAAATATGCTTCTTTTGTTTTTGATTAAAGTTATCATTTTGTTATGATTACTAAATGTGTGAATTACTAAATTATAGTGGGTCATTCCTCTGGAGGCTGTGGAGATAAGAAACTCCTTATATAATGGGAGTTGATAAACTGGGTCGGATTCTCACTGAGATTCAGAATTGCATTTAGCTATGCTCTGAAAATGATTTCAACGAGAGCCAAATGTTGTCTCAGAAAGGGAAACTGATCTTTGGGTAAGATCCAACAGGAGGCTGGAGCTTTGAAACAAGAAGATACATGTGGCTTGCTCAGCCCTTTGAAAGGTCCAAAAGAGATGTAGATTGGCTCCAGGAAATAATGATGGAAAAGAAAGTAAAGCAAGGCATAAAGAATCAGGTAGATGATATGGTAAGGCAGAGTCTTAGCTACTTACTAATTAGCTACTTACTAATTTTATCACCTGTATTGAGTCAATACATCTCTGAACCTTTGCTTTCTTTTTTGTATGATAAAGAGGTGAGAAAATCTTTATTTTTCATTCATCTATAAATGTTGCCATCAGCTAAAAAGAACACTTGGCAGCTATAAAAATATGAACAGATAAGAAACATAAGGGAAGGAACTGAGCTTCATTCATTTTAGTAACTGACTAATAAAGTAATGGGCCTGAAATATATATAATAGGTACTCAACAAATATTTGTTGAATAGATGGATGAGAAAAATGGAATAGATCAAGAGGAAGTAAAGTCAGGAGAGAACACCAAGACCAGGCTCTTAGGCCACGCATGTAGGAGGCAGAGGATGGAATTTAGGAAGGCAAATAAGAAACGGTCTTTTTTGCTCAGAGGTCAGGACCAGGAAAAAAGCTTCAGGAGCCAGGATAGCTGTAGCATAAAAGTGCTGAGAGCCTATTATCTGTACAGAAGATTAGCAAGCATGTTTTAAAGAATTAAAATCCACAATAGTAATGCCTACAAGTATACCTTCAACAACATGTCTGAATATTTAGAATTACATTTAAGGCAATTAGAAGGCAAGGTGAGTAAGGAAAGTGAGGAATGTCATGAAATTGCCATTGGTAAAATCAGACAGACCAGACTTTAAATCGAAGTTACATTCACTAGGAGTATATATATGGCAGAAAATTAATCTGAGACATCTAGAAAATAAAGAATTAATTCTGAAAAATGAAAATTATAGTATCTACTCTGAAGAATTGTTTTGAAGATTAAATAAGTGAACATATGAAAAGGACCTAAAATATGCCTAACATGATTTTAAAAAATTGTATTGTTATCATTATTATTGCCTTATTGTTTTTATGCATAATAGAGTATGTATTAGCCAACTCAATCTTTGGCTTGAGTTCAGTTCAAGAACTTGTAATTTGTAAACTAAATTGCTTCTTTATTTTTGGGTTTTCTTCCAAGTGTGTTTTTTTCCTCTCTTGTGCTCTTTTAAAAGTCCAACCCATCCACTCCCCCATAATTCTAGCTTTGTTTTAGCAGCATCAAGGAAAAAAAGACATTTCTACTTAGGCCAGGGAGGCTAAGTGGCAGATGGCTATGATCGGGCCAATAAGGCCTCAGATCTCAGATGTTAGAGGAACAGAAAAGTCAGAGCAGAACTATGGGAAGAAACAGGAACGGTGGAAGTTTTCTTTTACGTGACTGTAAGAGATGAACCATACCAGATTCAACTACTTAGATAACCTTCCCAAATAAGAGGTGATGTCCCCCTCTAGTGTTTGTTTCTAGTTTATATAGTTGACCCTTGAAAAGCACAGGTTTGAACTGTGAGAGTAAACTTACATGGGTTTGTTTTTGTTTTTTAAAATAAATACAGTACTGTAAATGTACTTTCTCTTTCTTATGATTTTCCCAATATCATTTTCTTTTCTCTAGCTTACTTTATTGTAAGAACAGTATATAATATATATAATATACAATATAGGTGTTAACTGATTGTTCATGCTATTGGAAAGGCTTCCATTCAACAGCAGGCTATTAAGTTTTTGGGGAGTCAAGAGTGATACGTGGACTTTCCACGGTGAAGGTGTCAGCACCCCTAGCCCCCATATTATTCAAGGGTCAACTGTAATAACGTCATTTGAGTGGGGAGTAAGAGGACGATTGTTTCCTAAAGGCTACTGCTTTGTAAGATACATATTTTTAACAGTAAACAAAGTTAGATATGATGTGAAAACTCTGCAACTGAACAGATTAATAAGAAAATTAATATAAGACCTGTTACAGAAGTTACATTAATACTGATAACTTGCCAGTAGATACACTAGAGTTAATAAATATGGTTTATCATTGCTAAATCAGATTTTAAAAGAAACTTAGCTCTAGTGAAACGTGTTAAGACTGTTAAAAGTTTTAGCTAGTTTTGAAGCTACCTTCATCCTCAATAGGTTTTGGACTCTGACAGAAATAGGCCTCATTCTGTAGTTAGTTCCGCCCTTAAACTCCCTGATCAAACATAGTCTTGGTGTTAGCTCATAAATTACAAAGCCAGCAGACTATTTTAGTTAAAGGATGATTAAGTATAGGGCCTGGATAGGTCTGGAGTAGATGAAGATGAAGGGTGGTATGGGTTTCACTTCTAATTTTCGGCCCAAGCTTTCAGGCTGAGAAAATTGTTTCCAAGTGTTCAGAGCAATCTCAGTTCTACAATCCCAGACACAAAGTAGGATTTCGGGGCGGGGGTGGGGGGTAGTGCCTTAACTCCTTAATCTGTGTGTGACTATCGGGTCTTGGGAATACACTCAAGTAACGTCGCGTGACCAGCTAGCGGAAAATGGAGAGTGAACTGCACAAACGTGTGTAAGGGCGTGTTTGGTTTGTTTGTTAGTTTAGAGCCCTCAGGGAAAGAGAAGACAGAACTGTAATGACTCACTGAGGGACTGGAGAAGGGCTGCCCATGAGGTGCTGAGACATTCTAAGTGGAAGGATAGCGTGTGAGGAAATCAAGTCTGCGGTCAGGAGAACAAAGACGTCGTTTAGCTACGGCACACAACCTGAAGCGGTTTAGGCTTACCGGGAGGGCGACCGGGAAAGCTCACAGTCGGGAAGCAGCGGTGCAATTGCAGCGGGAGGCGCGCCTCTCCTGAGCCCCACCCCCCCTGAGCCCCGCCCGCAAGCGTCGAGCCAATGGGAGCCCGGGATGTTAGCGGGTGGGAGGTGAGGCTGGGTTGCTACAGCCGGAGCTGGGCGGTGGCGGAGGCGGCGGCGGCGGCGGCGGCGGCGGCGGCTGTGGCAGTGGTGGCGGCGGGTGTTGGGGGAGAAATCTCGGGGATCCAAAGGTGGTGGCGCAATGGAGGGACTGGAAGGTGAGGAGGTGGAGAGGTGCGGGCCAGGCGGTGAGAGCGGGCTCGAAGCAACCCGCGGTGCCCAGGACAGAGGTGCCGGTGGCTAGGGGCTGGACCGGAGCGGTGGACCCTGCCGCTCCTTCCGAGGCCCTAGCGGCCGGTAGCCTTTCAGCCCCCAACACCGTGGAACTCCTGATCCTCAGGCTGCCCCGCCTCAGACGGTCTTCAGCTGGGGTTCCCCACCGGGAGCCTGATACTCCTTTGGCATGTGCCTGCAGGTCTCTTCTACCGTCTTTTGGTCTTGCCTGACTCCCGAGAGCCCTTTTGATAATCACAGTCTCCAGCCAGATTTTATTTTTCTTGCAAAGTGGACTCTCCATTAATGTCCATGGCCTCTCTACTGCCAGCCTTAGCTGGGGCCCCTGGGTGTGTTTTCAGCCTCTAGCTCCAGACACTTTCCTGGCCAGTGTCCCTAGGTAACAGTTTTTCTCTTCCTACCGCATCTTCTATTGGAGGGATGCCAAGAGCATCTACGGAGGAAGAGTCACTGGCCAGCTTCAAAGCAGGGACAATAGATTAACAGAAGGATTTATGAGCTTGTTAATGACGACTCTGTAAGGAAGAGCCGGCATTGATTCCTTATTTTTGAGTTAATCCTTGTGCTGTAACCATGACTCCAGATTTTGCTTTGTTCCCAATTCTTTCACTTCTCTATTATTTTTGTCCGTCTTATCCTCTGTAACATAACATTTGCCTAAAAACAACAATGGAAAAAAACTAGTTAACATTGGCAACACCAGTTTCAAGGTTGTATTTCAAATTGTGGTTAATCCTTCTGATGAAAGATCTTGTTGCCTTGGTTTAGCTCTTTTCCCCCCTCCTATTTTACATAGATTCAGGTGGAATTAAAAATAAAGAGAGGCATTGAGCCCTGTATTGTTGCATGCCAGAAAACAAATTATTTCAGGTTGTGTTATAAAGTGAAAAGTAATAACTGGTAACTTTCTGCAGTTACCTAAGCATACCAAAAAACAAATGTAATGATGAATATGATAGTTTTTAATGCTTTTTCTCTCACAGTAAACAGCTTGAGAATGGTAGATGAGAATTCTAATAAATTTTCCTTTTGTGGGCAGCTACAGTATACTGTGACAAGTGAAGTTCCTGTTCTCTGGTCGTGTAATTTATTTCAGGGAGATCATTAAGTTTCCATGAAATAAGAATTGTAATGATCACACTCCTTACTTTCAAGATACTGTTTTTTAGAGGATATATGGAGGAACCTAATTTTTAAAATAAATTTTAAAATATGTGGTGGTCTTGTAACATAGTGGATAGGATCATGGGTTCTGGAATTCTTGTGAAGTTGTCATAACATACATTAAGTGCTTTAAAACAACTTTTCTGCAGATTTTTATTATTTCATTTAACATTTGTAATTAAGGCAAAGATCTTCATCTGTTTTTTTCACTTATATATGCTAAGCACCTAAAACAGTGTCTGACCCAGAGTAGGTACTTAATAAATATTTGTCGTTAGATAAATGACTTTGTCTATCATGGGCACCATTCTAGGCCCAAGGGTTGTAGCAAAAAAGAAAAAGTCAAAAGCCCTGTTCTCATTGAATCTATGTTTTAGTGAACCTTATATTCTAGCAATACCAAGACATTACGATTGAAATCTTACTAAGAATGCTTTTAAAATATAATGAAAACCCAGTGTAGTATTCAATACATTTGTGGAAAAATACATGTATTCTGATGTAATATGTTGTGAGGGGTATGTTTTATGGGCCCAGCTTATGATGTATCACGGTAAACAGTACTTGCTTCTTACTTTTTGGGGGTATTTTGTTTTTGTTTATTGTTTAACAAAATGAGTTACTATCATTAGCTATGATGTGTTTAGTTCTAATTAGGTTAAGTTAAAATATATGAAATAGGTTTTTTTTTTTGTAGGACAAAACAGTTGAATATTAGTAATTCATGTGGTTTAAACTAATAAAAGCTCTGAGAGTTTTTACTGAAGTTAGAACAATGCCTTTCTTTCTTTCTTTCTTTCTTTCTTTCTTTTTTTAAAATCAGTCCCTGTTAGGTCCCATTTTGCAAAGATCAGAAGTTGGAATCTTAAGGTTCCATCCATTAATTCATTCATCCATGCCTTCATTTAATAAACATTGATACAGTGATAAATAAGATAAAGTTTTTCCCCTATTGGAAGTTAAAGTCTAACACTTGGGGTTTTTGTTTTGTTTTTTATTTTTTAAAGATTTTATTTATATATTAGAGAGAAAGCACAAGGAGTGAGGAGGGAGAGAGAAAAGCAGACTCCCCTCTGAGCAGAGAGCTAGATGCAGGGACTCCATCCCAGGATCCTGGGATCATGACTTGAGCCAAAGGCAGATCCTTTAACCAGCTTTGCACTTAAAGTCTAGCACTTTGAGGTCTAATAAATGTTATATTGCAGTCCTGTAGAAAATCTCCAGGAATTTGCTTACCATGTCATAGTAATTGAGTAAATATTGTACTGTTTGGTGTCAGACTCATGTTTCTAGTTGAAGCTAGTTACTGGACTAATCTTGATTACAAAACCAGAAAATATACAGCCCCTTAAAAAATCCTATTGAAGATTATCATACTCTTTTAAAAATTATTTACATGTAAAGCATGTGCCACTTTTATTATTTTTGGTCTTCTGGGACTTCTCATGTTCCCTGATCGTTAAGAGATGAGGTAGTAGTCTGAACACTGTATTTCAAAACTAGATATAAATTATCGCTCATGATTCTGTATCATCTATATTTGAGAATTTCTGTGTTCTGTGTGTAATTGGAGCAAAACTTTTAATTTCTTTTCACCTAACTCTTGTGCCCTGTAGGTATACCTAAGGCCTATAGAATTAGGTCTAGACTTGGGAGAGTTTTAGTCTCTCCTAAGCTTTGCATCTGTAAAATGGAGAGATGATAAACTTTAAGCAGATTTAATAAATACACTATTATCATTTCTTTCATAACATCTTGATAAGTGGTTATTAACAGTTGTAATAGAGATCAGGCTCCCCATTCCTTTTTGGCTTACTAAATTAGCAGATCTTAGTGTACTGCCCTCTAAAACCTCATTAGAAGTCTAATTGCTCTTCTCTGGTGTACCCTAGATTTAGTTGAAGAAAGCATTCCTGTCCCATTAGGGTTTCCTTTTGATTTTGTTTTTCTCTAGTCCAAACACATGCTAGTTTACTGAATAATTCTTCATCTTTATTGATTTATCTAGCATTCATTGTTTTTTAGTCTTGAGTTAGATGCTAGGTTATTTTAAAAGCCAGTGTGTTAGAGAGGCCTGTGTTTAGATCATTGTTTTGTTTCTTTTTAGTTCTCTGGTTTAGTAAATCTCCACTTCAGTTTCCTCAGCTATAAAAAATGGAGGTTTTAAATACTAATCTTCCTGAACTATATTAATATTAAATGATGTCACATACATAAAGCATTCAGTGAGGTGCCTAGTACATAGGAGTTCCCCTCAGTCCCTGTTTATTGGATGGGGAAACTCATATAAGTGTGTTAGGAGCTTAGAAGTGTTTCAGTAGAGGTAAAAAGCATGCTTGGAAGGGATTGTGTGCAGTCTTAATCTATAGATGGCTATGGTACAGGATAGGCTGGAGAAAGAAGAGACTGGAAATATGTATATGGGATGAGGATTTGAGCTAAGGCACAGATTGTGGGAATTAAAAAGGGAGGAGAGGTGAGATATGACTTGGATATGAGAGAGAAAAAGAAGCACAAGGGTTGTCTAGCTTTGACAAAGAGTCAATATTAATATCTGAAGGTCTCTGCTTTAAAAGTCTCCTCATTAAAGAAGCTTTCCCTGATCCTACCCACTTTCCAAATACACTTACACATAACACTATGACTGTCTTCTCTCTTCTTACTCTGCTTAATTTTTTTTGCATTGTGCTTATCACTACCTGACATTTTATGTATTTGTTTTTGTTTTTTCCATGTTTGAAGAGTAGAAGCTCTGTAAGATCATCACTGTTTGCTTACCTCATCGAACAGTTCCTGTTTCAGGGCACCTGGATGGCTCAGTTGGTTAAGCTGCTGCCTTCAGCTCAGGTCATGATCCCAGAGTCCTGGGATCAAGCCCCATGTTAGACTCCCTGCCAAGCAGGGAGTCCCCTTCTCCTTCTCTCTCTGCCTGCCATTCCTTTTGCTTGTGCTCTCTTCAATCTGTCAAATAAATAAATTAAATCTTAAAAAAAAAAAAAAAAAAAGAACAGTTCCCTGTCTCATGCTAGGTGCTCAAGAAATACTTGGGGGAATCAACAAATTGATCTATTTTAATGTAGTGTTTAGGACTGATAAAGGTTTCCTGCAGTTTAGGTAGAAGAGAAAGGGAGGAGGTAAAGAGGAGTTAGTAAATGTAAGCCAGTGTTTCAAAAGATGTGCTACTCAGGAAATTGGTCCTAAATATCTCCTGGGGTCAGGATTTCTGTTAGGAAAATAATAATATACTAAATCTCTTTTTTAATACTGAGGAAGTTCTGCTCTAAGAAAACCCATTCCTTTAATCTAGCATTTGCCAAACATGTGACCATGGATCAAGGGATTTGAGGGTGATTGGTGAAAGTAGAAATGACTAGTCAGATTCAGACTGAGTAGGAAGAAAAGTGCAATGAGGAATGGGTTATCAAGAAGATGCAAATCATTCTGAGATCAAGAAAGTGATTTAAAAAGAGGTAGAAGGTAGAAGTACATGGCCAGAGAAGGTGCTTGGGTATTTTAAGAGTCCGGAAGTGGACCATTACTAAATTATTTTAGCAGTTGTTATTTTTGTTGAACTGGAGTGGTGGACTAAAGAGGAGTAGACTGTGAAGGCTCTGTGTTGAGTAGGTTAAGTGTGAATGTTTAACTGTTGAAATCTAGGATGAACTCAAAGAGGAAAGTCTTTTGAGATGATTAGGGATTGTTGACCTGAAAATAATTAGATTTTGAAAAGGATTGTTGGAAGAAGACTGTGTAACAGATGCTGTATGCTTCAAAACGAAGGTTTGTTTTAAAGGTTGGATTCAGATGAGCAATGACCCATGGTGAAGAAATAGACATGCTACACAGAAGCCAGAACTGTTCTTAATTTCCAAGATTTCATTTCTTTTGAAAATGTTCTTTCCTATTTCTTAAATAGATACATTTTAGAATGTCATAACTGTTTAGATAACAGCATATTATTTCACATCTCTATATATGTAATATATATAAATAGTATTATATAAAGTATTATATAATATATATAATAGTATTATATATATATAAAATAGTATATATATAAATAGTATTATATATTATATATATATAAATTATATATATAATATATAAAATATTATATAAAGTATTATATAAAGTATTATATAAAAGTATTATATATAATACTATAAAATAGTATTATATAAAATACTATATAAAATAGTATTATATAAAATATAAAAATTATATTATATAAAGTATTATATATATAAAGTATATATATAAATTATATATAGTATTATATAAATGTAATATATATAAAAATATTATATATATTATATAAAGTGTTTTATATATATATATATATATATATATATATATATATATATTCAAGCCTTATGGTGCAGATTTTGAAGTTGCCAAATACAGTAATGCATAACAGAATCAACACTGTGTGTGAGATAAATTTTATAAAGAGAAGTTATGGAGAGTTTTAGAATATTAAGGTACTTTAGTTACATGGTTTTATCCATTAATTTGAGTGCTGCTTTCGACAGTGCTTGCTCTATGCTACAATAGTCACCCCTCTGCATATCATCTCTACTATTTTTTTTTTTAAGATTTTATTTATTTATTTGTCAGAGAGAGAAAGAGAGAGCACAGGCAGGGAGAGTGGTAGCAGAGGCAGAGGGAGAAGCAGGCTCCCTGCCAAGCAAGGAGCCTGATGTGGGACTCAATCCGAGGACGCTGGGATCATGATCTGAGCTGAAGGCAGCTGCTTAACCAACTGAGCCACCCAGGCATCCCTCATCTCTACTATTTTTATAAGCCTCACAGTTTGCTAGCTTTTGCCACACAAGAGAGATTACTGTTTTCCTTCATGTGCTGGAGAAGAGTATTTTCTTATTTCATTGGTTGTAAAGCATTTGCATATGTAACATCTCAGATGACCCCTTAAATTTTAAGGTAGATAGAGCAGATAAAATCCTCATTTAACAAATGTTAAACTGAGGCTATTTATATGATTAGTCATACATTTTTCTTCTAATTCATGTAGCGAAGATTTTTCCAACAAGGAGAGAGACATCTTATTCTTTGCTTTAGTTCCTTGCAGATTCTCAGTTCCGTATATAGACAAGTGGAATTGATTTTCTCAACATTCTGCATGCTACCTGAAGCATTCATTCCTCCATCTGCACTTGGTCAGCTGGTTTAATCATCCTTATATCTGACCAAATTTTTGTTTAATTTAATGCCAGTAAGAGGGTATGTTATCATCCATGTACTTTTCTTGCTAATGTGGTCTTAAGGTAGGTTTTATTAAATACATATAGTATATTTGTTATGGTGTATTAGATAGAAGGGGGCCATGTAGGTCATTCACCCTAACTTCTTCCAAATTTTATACAAGAGGAGGCTGAACCTTAGTGAGGTTAAATATCTTGCCCAGGGAGTTATAGTTCTGACACTTATGAGACAAATTTCAGTGCCTTTTTTGCTAAGCTGTCATGTCTTTTAATGAATACCATTACAACAAAATGTAGCTTTGTGACTCTGAACCTAAGCTGCTTATGACGTGTTGGTAGAAGGAGGTGTTCACACTAACATACATGTGCACGTTATAGTTTGTGAATTATAGGGCTATGCTGTATGACTAGCTAATATAAGAGGGAGGAAATTATAAATTTATATCTATTTATTTTGAATGAAGTAATGACTTCAAAATTTTTGTAAAATTTTGCTTTGTTATTTATTTAACTGAATATAGTTTAAAGCAAGTAAAATAAGTGATACTCTAACATTTTGTATTGATGACTTTTAAATCATTGCTTAGAATTTAAAGGATTATATGAAAATTATAAGTAAACAAGCTTAATAGATTATGTATCATGTGGCATCACTTTGAGCATCATTATGAAGACATTCTTAGTGTATGTTACAGATACATAGTGGAATTAAGTCCCTGTTCTCCCAAGATAACCTAACCTCTGGTATTGGAGAGGAACAATTCAGGCAAATCTTTGCTTTTGTCGTGCCCACAGCTTTACTGCCACCGTAGAGTCATTGCCTCCATTTGAGATGATAGTCACTATCTACCATTAAAATAGGGCAGTGGGGTATTGAGAGAATGAGAGAACAAAACAGTTTTTCTGTTATAGTTTGATTATATTCCTACTCATGTCTATTTTGATTCTTCTGTTAGTTTTCTTGAACTTACTAAATGCTTTGGAACAAATTACATGAAGTCATAATTGTACTTTTCTCATGAGTTTCTTTAGGTTACTTCTAAAACAAAGTGGCTATTTGTCTTTCATGTGATAAAGGAATTTTAACAGTAAAATATTCAGCAGAAAATATATTTAAGAAATATATTTAAATGTAATTATGAATCATTTAATTATTTTATATTATATATTATGAATATATTTAATTATTAAATAAATAAAATATATTTAATATAGTTAAGATACAGATTCAAGTACCATTTTTAGAAAATCACAGGTATGGAAATAAATTTAGTTTTGATAATTGGCTAGACAATAAAATGACAAATAGACTCAGCTATGTAGAATTCCAAAGAATGTAGTTGTTTCTTTTAAATCAATTTAGTAACAAAATCTGTCATATGAAAATGTGTGATAGATGCAGTAAGTTTTGATTGAGTAAGAGTTTCAGCTACTTGCTGGTTATTTAATGAATTGTGCCATAGGACAGAATATCTCAGTTTGCTGGTCCATTGAATTCTTATAGAATATTATATGTATAAAATAATGAACAATTTATATAATAAAGGTAAGCATAGTAACTAGGGATTCTTTAAGGCATTATAGTTCCTATTGTCTGCTGTTACACAGACCAAGATTCTTTTTTTTTTTTTTAAGATTTTATTTATTTGTGACAGAGAGAGAGAGGGAGCAAAGCAGGGGGAGCTGCAGGAAGAGCAGACTCCCCAATGAACAAGGAGCCTGATGTGAGACTTGATCCCAGGATCGGGATCATGACCTGAGCCTAAGGCAGATGCCCAATGGACTGAGCTACCCAGGTGTCCCAGAACAAGATTCTTTTTATCTTAGAATCCTTAGATCATCTCAGGAAGCCATCTCACTGATCACCAATGTTAAATCTTAATCCTTTGAAGATTAATAATATATAATATTAACCTCAAGGAAAACAGTGTTTAAAGTTTGGTAATTTACAGTAGAGACAGGCTATAAATTCAAAGAATGTAACAAATTGGTTTGTTTAAAATTAAAGAAAACAAGATATTTCCAACAATATCAGTTTGGTGATACTTAAATCATGACTTCAGTATTTGGCATGTCCTTTTTGACCGCTGATAACTCTAAGTCTTGTGCCTCTTTTGATAATATTACTTATTCCAAAATGAAACAAGACATTTTCCACAAGAACTGACAGCTTATATAAGAGGACATTAAAATTTGGAAGTTTCACAATTTGAACAAAGAATTTATTGATTAAATTCTTTTCTGTTTTAGAAAATGGAAGTGTCCAAGTAGGAGAATTGTTACCTTGCAAGATTTGTGGAAGAACGTTCTTTCCAGTGGCATTAGTGAGTACCTTTTTCCTTTGGATTATGATAGATCTCTAATTATTCAATACTTCAGGACAACTATCTTGGGAAGAACCTCTGTGGAATAATTTAAAGAGATACTGGTCAGTGTTCTTGGTTCATGAGTATCAGTTCCATCTATGTCTTTCTTCTAGAGAGGTTTCTTTCCTTCATAGTTTGGTCTTCAGAACTACTCTGTTAATGTGTTTCTCTGTGGGAATATTAACAAAAACAGAACAAAAACTCAAAAATGCGTAATTATGTATTTAAAGATAAAGAATGATATGTATCTGGGATCTACTTTAAAGTACCTTAGGAAAAAGAGCTGGGATAGATGACAAGATTGCTAAATTGCTGATAATTGTTGATGAGTAAGTGGGAGTTCATGACACTATGCTCTTAATTCTTATGTCTATTTGAAATATTTGAAGAAAAGTTGTTTTCAAATAAAAGTGTACCTAAATTATATACCTATATATGTATTCTTTTTAAATTTTTATTATTTTTTATATTATACATTCTTTAGCTACTTTTAGTAGTAACACAAATAGGAGTACTTTTAATTGATTTTAATGTTAAATAACCAACTAACTAGACAATAAGGGAAAAAATGCCTATGTACCTAAAATATTTTATTTTTACCTTAAATATAAAAATACATTTGTTAATATTTTGATGCAGAATAAAGACTTTTCTTTGAATATGCATCTGCTGATTAAAGTTCTGCCACAATCCAGAATGCGTTTTACTATTTCCAGTTTGTTTCTTTAAAGTAAAACAGGGATTTAATGATCCAAAATATCTGTTGGAATATCGAGTCTTTTTAAATAATGACAGCTTTTTATCCTTTATTCTTTAAAAACTTCTTGCCCACACTTAACTCAATGATTTTGTTGTTTTTTGTATCATCTCGCTGTTTTTCAAACCATTTTCAAAGCATTCAGCTCAGTTTACATAGGAAAGAAAATGCCTTCTTTTGCCCTTATTTAATATTTAATTAAATAATGTAATCACTATACAACTACAACTTATATAACACATCAGATATGGGAAAAAGTACTACATACTTTTGACAGAACTCAATGTAAGAACAGATATCTATCAGAAAATTGCTTGTTAGCCACATTTTTATTTTTTTCATATTTAAGAGATTTTTTATTCTAATAGCTATAATTATAGTACTTGCTTGTTAAAATGAAAACTGAAAACAAGTGTGTATTAATTTCTAAGTGTATATTGAAAATTTAAGAGGTTGTATGATATCAAACCAACCAGTTTGGAGGTTTCCTCTTTTCTCAGATAAAGTTGAACAGTTCTAGCTTGTTCAGTGTTTATCAAAATACAAAAGAGAAAAAGTGCATATAGTGCATTTCCATTAACATATTTTATTTGGAAGAGGGAAAATGATTATTTATCCAGTAGGTTAACTGAAGGTCATTTATAAGAGCATTCATTGTAATATCCTTAAAATGAATACATGAATGATTGAATGAATGAGTTGGCAGCCATATTAAAAAAACCTATAGAAGTGGAATGCTAGATAGCTCAAAAATCATGGGTAAAGAAAGATAAACTTGTTTCTTATAATATGTAAATGTAATATGGTAACATGCTACTGTTGTATTAAGAACTTTAGTGACCCAGGACACTACTATTGTTTTAATTTTTGTAATCCTCACACTAATGCAGTCTCTGTTTACATTCTTTTTCCAGTATCTATTTTCATGTATTTAATAATGAAGATAACTCTTTTTTTTTCCACTTAAATAATTTGGCTTTGTTACATTATTTTCCTTATTCTTAGCAGTGTGAAAACTGGAATAGTCAATAACTCTTAATAAAATTTTGGAAGACTATCTATACTTTCTTGTTGTATATAGTATTCATATTTTCTTGAGAAATAACTTAGAGCAAGCATTATATATACTTTTTAACGGTTTTAGTTAAAGCAAAATATCGTATTTATATATTATTATTTCATCTTCTAGTTTTTAAATTGGTCTCAAATGACAATTTGATGTTTATAGATTTCCTTTTTATAGAAAAGAAAATGATGCATTGTATTTCTTTATCTTAATAGAAAAAGCATGGACCCATTTGCCAGAAAACTGCCACTAAGAAGCGCAAGACTTTTGATTCAAGCAGACAAAGAGCTGAAGGAACTGATATTCCAACAGTAAAGCCTCTTAAACCTAGGGTAATTATACAGCTTTTTGGATAGTATGAATTCTGCTTTGTGTTTTCAGTTTAAAAATGATCAGAAACTTGTTTATTTTAAACTTCTGCTAAAGGGAAACCAAACTACTATCTCCAGATCTATTACAGTGAGGTTTTTATAGCATCAGATAGCTAGTTGCTTAGCTATAGGCTGGAGATAATTAAAAATTCCTCACATGTTCTTTTTAAGCCATTGTTAATTATTGCAGCCTATTTAAGCGCTCTAAGTTTAAGCCTCTTATCAATAGTATAGTCCCTATATACAAAAGCAAAGTTATAATTTACAGATACCTTGGCATTATAGATATTTATTATCTTGATTAATTGTCCGTAATTGTGATCTTACGCTTTCTGGGGAAGTTTGATCAGTTACTCAACTGTCCATGTATAGCCGTTGTCAGTTTATTTTCTTTGAAAGCAGTGAATCTCCTTTAATTATATCTCTTTAATTCTACCTGTGATATGTTATATTGCCAAGAATAAAGCACATACATACTTTGTTCGACGTGGTTTTAAAGAGTTAGTTCAATGAAAAGTCAAAATTTGAGTACCTCATTGAATAGATTTTTGAAATAAACCCTTCTTCATTGATAATAACTTCTCCCAGTGCTACAGGAAAACATTTCCCTGTGGGGCAATTAATCTTACTAATAAAATTATTTGATAATAGAAAAGTCGATGTTCATCTTTTTTTTCAGTCTATGTATAAGTGAAGGTGAAATTTGAATAATGTACATAAACAATTATTTGATATTTTTCTTAGTATATCTGCTAGATATATGATTATATTGGCTTTAATTAGCTAAGAGGTAAACTGTTGAAATTTTTAGACAGTGTAATATACTGGGTGTGAAAATGAAAGCTGTCTCAAGAGTCATACTGCCTGGATTTAACCCTTGCTCTGTTACCATGCTGTGTTGGGAAGTTACTTTATCTGTACATCTCTTTATCTGTAAAATGGTGATAGTAATGCTAGTATCTGTCTTGTAGGGTTCTTACTGAATTTATCCATAGTGATCTCTCAGTAAATATTAGTTATCTTATTTTTTAAAATGATTTATTTATTTATGTATTTATTTATTAGAGAGAGTGTGTGCAAGAGTGGGTAGGGGCAGAGGGAGAGGGAGAGAGAAACTCAAACAGACTCTGTGCTGAGTGTAGAGCCTGAGGCAGGCTATGGGGTAGGTAGGGGGTTGGAATTGCTCAATCCCACAACCCTGAGATCATGACCTGGGCTGAAATCAAGACTTGGACACTTAACCGACTAAGGGAGAAGGACTCTAATAGTGAAAAAAATTAATCTTCAGATAAAAACAAAGTAAAAACCATGCCTTTACATGAAGTAGTATAATTTCTTGGTACTTAAAAATGTGGTTCATAGAGCAGTCGTACCAGCACTCTTTGGGAACTTGTTAGAAATGCAGAATCTCAGGTCCCACCGAGAAATACTGAGTTAAGAATCTGCATTTTAACAAAATCCTTGGACAAGTCATAGGCGCCTTAAAGTTTGAAAAGCTGTGTATTAGAAGATTTTTTTCAAGATTTTATTTATTTATTTGTTAGAGTGAGAGCATGAGTGGGGAGAGGGGGCAAGCAGAGGGAGAAGCAGGCTCCCCACTGAGCAAGGAACCCGATGAGGGACTTGATCCCAGGACCCTGGGATCATAACCTGAGCCAAAGCCAGATGCTTAACCAACTGAGGCACCCAGGTGTCCCAAACACTATTTTTATTTTTATCTTTTTTTTTAGATTTTGTTTATTTATTGGATAGAAAGAGAGTGAATGAGAGAGAGCGAGCGTAGGCAGTGCTAGGGGGAGGGGCAGAGGGAGAGGGAAAAGCAGACTCCCCATTGAGTAGGGAGCTTTACACAGGGCTCTATCCCAGGACACAAGGGATCATGAACCCAGCCAAAGGCAGATGCTTAACCGAATGAGCCACCCGGGCGCTCCTGTATTAGGAGATTTTAACATCATAGTGCAGTTCTGTCTTTATCTGTATCAAAGAAATCTTACAAAATCACCAGCAGAGTGGAGTAAAGCAGATACAAATTCCATTTGGGGAATAACTAAAGGTAGGCATAATCTACAGAGTACAAAATATATGTAAGGGCTGCCCAAAGCTTCTGGTCTTCCAGAAGAACCTGCCCATAGAAGAAGTGCAGAAAGTGACTAAAGGACCCATGGCCCGGAATGGGAACCTGTTACCTTAAAGATGAAGGGTCTCCTTGCCTTAAATGTGACTCCTTAAATGTGAGGGGTCTAAACAGGAAGTATAGACCCCTTGTTTGCTGCAGCCAAAGCAGGAATTGGGGTATTGGAACTTGGGTAGCCAGGAATTAGAATGAGCTTGGCTGAAATTGGACAGAAACCAGGAGGGAGGAAGTAGGGACATAAGGCACAGAGAGTTGAAGGGGGCCCAATGGCAGAAGCTCTAAAAAAATCACTAATGAAAAAAATATATACTTTCTGAACGTAAGGAGCCTATCTAAAGGGCTAGGTCTTTTTGTTTTGTTTTGTTAGTTTGTTTAAGTGGTTAATATGGTTACTGAGGGAAGCATGGTTGGCAACAGGAGCCTTCCTGGACCCATGTTGTTTTAGAGAAGCATGAGAGGTATGGCCGTGTGATCAGAGAGGCTTTATTTGCATCCATATCTGGTATAACAGAGAAGAGAGCTGGCTGTCAGTTTGTGTACCTTGGAAGCAAACTGTGCACCTCTCCTCCCTAGAACCTCTTGTAAATAGATGTAACAAGAAAACCCAATTCATTCAATGATGAGTAATAAAAAGCATTAATTTAGCACTGACACAGGATGCTATGAGAAGAAAGGTAGATGAGAGCAGCAAAACTTATCAGTAGGTGAGTTATACTTACGAGGTAGATGAATGTTGTGATCACACCTTTCACCATAAAAATTAACTTTAAAGAATCAGTCACATTCAACAACTGAGTTTGCTTGTATTTAGTTAAGATTTTGTATCTATATTTGTGAGAGAGGTACATTTGTAATTTTTCTTTTTATCAAACGTTTATTACTCTCAACAGACTAGTTAGAAAGTTGTTCTCAGGGTGCCTGGGTGGCTTAGGCAGTTAAGCACCTGCCTTCCGCTCAGGTCATGATCCTGGTGTGCTGGGATCGAGCCTTGCATCAGGCTCCCAGCTCAGTGGGGAGCCTGCTTCTCCCTCTCCCTCTGCTGCTCCCTCTGCAGTGCTCTCTCTCTCAAATAAATAAATAAAATCCTTTAAAAAAAGGTTGTTTTCTTCGTTTATGTTGAAAGAGTTTTTAAAAGATTGATGCTATTTCTTCCTTAAATGTGTGCAAGAATTCAATAGTAAAGGCATCTGGGCCAATTTTCTTTAGGTTTTTAAATAATAGATTCACAAAAAAAAATAATGTGAGACTGTTAGGATTTTGTTTCTTTTAGTATCTGTTCTGTGGTGTTTGTCAAGGGTATTGTCCACTTAATGTTGTCAGATTTATTAGCACAAAGGTCTATTATGGTGTCTTCTTTTTTCCTCATGTTTATAAGAACTATATCATGTACTATTTTCCATCCCTTGGTATTTTGTGATTTCCTTTTTTCCCTTATTAGTCCTGCCTTATTAGTATTTTTAAAAAATCATCATTTGACTTTGCTGATTCAATGTATATTCTTGATTTAAAAAATAAAGACCTAATAAGGATAGTTGGGTATTTGAATAATGTGACAAAATAAATGTAGGATAGCACAGGAGCCAGCATTATGCATAGTAGAAAGATGCTTAGGGATAGCCATTAAAGACAGGAACAAGATTAAGCTCCAAGCAATATAGTAATTGCTATAACTGATATAGTTAGATATTAGATGCATAGGGATTAGGAAAGAGGAGGTAAATGCGTCATTATTAGGAGATGATATACCTGGAAAACCCAAGAGAATCAGCTGCTAAAATATTACAGACAATAAGAGAAGCCTGTGAAATAATGAGATATAATGCTAATATACAGAAATTACTAGGTTTCATATTTCAACAAACCCTTGAAACATAAAAAAGTAGAAAAGACTCTTTATAAAAGAACAACACAAAATAAAAAATGTTTAGGGATAAACCTTTTAAAGGTATAAGACTTTCACATAGACTGCTTAAAAAAAGCACAAATACTTCTTCAAATGCAAATATTAGATAATGTTTTTGGATAGGTAGATTCAACAAAATAAAGATATTAAGTTTCTTAAGTTGTTTATGAATGTAATGTTTAAGTTTTCCAGTTAAAATACAGTTTAAAAAATTAGACAAGCTGATTCTGAGGTTCATATGGAAAAAAGGTACATATAGGAATAAGCAGAAAAGATTGAAAAAGCAGAATGAAGTAGGGTTATCCTATCAGATATTAAAATATTATTATAAAGTCTCAGTATTTAAAACACTGGTACTAACACAAGCATAGTCAGAACACTGGAACAGAAGAGAAAGTTCAGAAATAGGCCCAAATACAAAAGAGAATATGATAAAGGTGTTAATAGTTCAGTGGGGAGCAAAGTCAATAAAGGATGCTGAGACAGCTACATAGCCATGTTAAAACCAAAAAATGAAGTTGAATCTATATGTCACAATATAACTCATGATAAATTCTGAATGATTAAAAGATTTAAAATTTTACAATGAAGTCATGAAAATTCTAGGAGGAAAACATGGGAAAATTCCACTTGTTCCAACTTTACACATTTATTCAATGTGTAAAGTTGGGCCTTGCTAATAGTGACTATAAATCTGGAGACCCCATGAAAAAACAAGTAAATTAAACTATATTTTAAAAATTAATTCCTCATATCAGAAGATCCTTAGACAAGATCTTAAGACAGCCATATTGTAGGGGAGGGCTGAGGCAATCTATAAAGAGTTAACTAGAAATTGCTAAAATTAAGACCAGTAATCAACAGGTAAGTTGATCAGGCACATAAACAGTGCACAAAAAAGGCAATGTGGTTATTCTTAATGATATAAAAAGATGCTCAACACACTTCTTATAAGAGAAAAGCCAGTTAAAACCAACAGAGAAAACTATTCTTTACCTTTCCAGTCAGTTAAAAAAAACAAAAGTTTAACATACTCTGTTGGAGAAAATGTAGTCAAATAGGGAAATTACATTGTTAGTGGGAGCCTAAGTGGATGCAACACATATAGAAGTTAATTTAGCAGTGTTTATCACAATTATAATTGCATTTTAAAAATTGCATATAATAAAATTACATGAAGTTTCTTTTTAAAATCATAAATTTTAAGGAAAGTAATTTAAGGACCTCCTAATAAGAGAACATTTAAAACAATATAGCATTTCCTCAAGTTTTATTTCAATTAATTTTTAAAAAAGATTCTATTTATTTATTTGAGATAGAGCACAAGCAGGAGGGAGAAGGGAAGGGAGAAGTAAGCTATCTGCTGAGCAGGGAGCCAGGACCTTGGGATCATGACCTGAGTGAGCCAAAGGCTGATGCTTACCGACAGCCACCAAGGTGCCCTGTTTCAATTAATTATTTTAAAAATGTTCTGAAATGGGCTTTTCTTTATTTGTTTGTAGCCTGAACCACCAAAGAAACCATCTAATTGGAGAAGAAAACATGAAGAATTCATTGCCACCATAAGAGCAGCTAAAGGCCTTGATCAGGCACTTAAAGAGGGTGGAAAACTTCCTCCTCCTCCTCCACCTTCTTACGATCCTGGTATGTAGAATATTGTTGATGGAAATCTTCATATGGAGGGAAAATATTGATATAATTATTAATTTTAAGTTGTTGATAAAATTAATTTATAATAATGGAACCTGATGAACCATAATCTTTTAAAGTTTAATTATAAAATAGTGATGCTAGTCCAGGCATTTAGGCTTATAAAGACACACTGATGTTGAACATAGAAATACTTTATCTTTTTATCTCAGTACTATTTAAAAATGAAACATTATAATGTCATTTGAAAAATTATTGTAGTATATCCCAGGAAATATTTGAAGAAGCTCACTGTCATTCGAAATGTAGTCGTTTGGTAAGATTCAGATTGTATGTTGCCTAGTTCTTTGGTATCTTCTCATCTGGGAAGAAAAGAAATCATTGTTTCTAAGAGGTATGTGTTCATGTGAGGAGACCACATATAGCTTGATTTACCTAAATTATGCTTTAAGTTTGTGTGTTAATCTTCATTAGATGGATAAAAGTAGCTTATTTGTTACCAGAAGCAAGGCAAGATGCTGGAAACCCAATATGAGATACTGAGATACTGGAACATTCAAAATATTCACGATTCTAATCCAAGATTAGAATTTATCATATACTAGTAAATTTTTTTCTTAAATGTCTTTACTGAGTTTAGTAGTCAGGTTGGGGGGGTTTAAGTAAATGACAAGTTTTGCTTATCAAATATAATACTTTGTCAGACATCTTGAATTACTCTTCATTAAAATTTATAATTCTTTATGTTTCCCTTCCAGAATTACTTTATTAATCTGTTTCTTTTTTCTGTTTTAGATTATATTCAGTGTCCATATTGCCAGAGGAGATTTAATGAAAATGCAGCTGACAGACATATTAATTTCTGTAAAGAACAGGCAGCACGTATTAGTAATAAAGGCAAATTTTCTACTGATACCAAAGGAAAGGCGACTTCTCGGACACAGGTGAAATGCTCAATTATTTCTACAAATAAAGGAGAAAAATGACTCTTTCAGGTTCACAATTTTTTGCTTATGCTTTACAGAACATTTAGCTACAGTTTTCTTACCTGCTTAAAGTTTAATATTACTGTTCAGGGACTTACTAAGAAATTTGAATGTTTAATAGAGAACAAATAATTGAATGGACTTAATAGAGTCTTAAAAATAATGCAGGTTGGAAAAGGTATTAGGAAAGGGTAAGAAAACTAGTTAAAAAGTAAGTGAAGCAGATTCAGAGGCAATCAGAGGGTTTGGAAAGTGAGAAAGTGGCAATAAAAATCCACATTTGAAAATCATGTATGTACTGAAAGTTTCCATGCTATGTGTGACCATACACCCAAGGAAATGAAATCCTGGGCTCAAGTCCAACTGTTACTTCTGAGCTTTAGGCAAGTAACATTTCATGTATGATAGACTTTATTTCTTCATCTATGAAGTAGTCTATATGATCTTTGTGAAAAGCAAATGAGATGGTATATGTGAAAGCACTTCAGGAGCCATAAATCGTATATGGATTTTGTTATATGAAATTTTTACAGTACTGTTGTTTTTCATTAAGCATATTGTGACACAGAAACTTTGATAGTGTCATATTCTTTTTTGAGATTTATTTATTTTATAAAAACGTTGATAATGTCATACTTTTTTTTTAAGATTTATTTATTTATTTTAGAGAGAAAAGAGAACATGAGTGGGAGGGGCAGAAGGAGAAGGAGAGAGACTCTTAAGCAGATTCCCTCCTGAGTGAGGAATCCAACACAGGGCTCGATTTCAGAAACCTGAGATCATGACCTGATCCAAAACCAAGAGTCAGACATTTAACTGACTGTTGCCACCCAGGTGCCCTGATAATGTAATACTTTTCAGCAAACTTCATTTTTCAGAAAACTTTCATTTACAGTATTTTTAGTACTATAAATCTAGCAGGCAATAAATAATCAAATCCATTTCACATATTACTTATGAATCAAGTATTGGACTAAAAGACTCCATTACAACTGGAGCCTTCTTGAGAGGATCCATATTTAATTTTGGTTAATATTATTGGAAATAGAACTACCCTCTTATTTTTTACAACACTTTTATTCTGGTGTTTTCCTCATTATTTTCCTCAGTTATTTTATTGTAAATTATACATGTAGAAAAAAGAAAAACAGGAGTGCCTGGGTGGCTCAGTCTTTAAGCATCTGCCTTCAGTTCAGTTCATGATCCCAGGGTTCTGGATTGAGCCCCGCAGCGGACTCTGTGCTCGGCAGGAAGCCTGCTTCTCCCTCTCCCACTCTCTCTGCTTGTGTTCCCTCTCTTGCTGTGTCTCTGTCTGTCAAATAAATAAATAAAATTAAACAAAAAAATAAAATATACATACATGCATAACCATAAGAAGGTTAAGAAATAGAATATTATCAATCTCACAAAGCCTCTACTATACCATTTCTCTCCCAGAATTGTAATGTTCTCTCCCTCTTAGACCCTCACCCCATAAAATAGTCACTATTCTGATTTTACATATAAATCAGTCTTTGCTTTTTTACATAGTCTCCAGACCAGGATTGTCCTTTTATTTACTATGGCTTTATAAATCTTGATGTCATGATGGATTTGTAGTTATTTTCTCCTTCAGTTTCTCTTCACTTGAAAATAGACAGTTGAAAATATTTTCTAATTTGTGATTGTGCCTTCATTTTTTTTTGTTATTATTGTAGGTTGTTTTTATTTTTGTATTTTTTGTTATTTTGTTTCGTTTTTATTTTTTAACTGGAGTATGATATACTCCACCTGATCTTCCCCACCCTCCATAATCCATACCTTCCGTCCCTCCCAGCTGACTTAGTTCTCTCCATGTTCTAAAATATACCTCTGATCCTGGTAAATTGGTCTCCTTCACATTCACATCTATAAAATGGGGTTAATATGTACCTACCTCCACAGTTATCAATAGGATTCAGCGAAATAATGCCTATAGGTGTGATTTCTTCTTTCACTCATAGTTTGTTCAAATGTGAGTCATTTACTTCCAGATATTTGGTGCTCCTCTAGATGTTTATTGCTGTATTTTTTTTTTTTTTGCCTCATTCTCTTATGGTGTGAGAACATTCTTGGTAAGATTTCATTTTTGAGATTTGTTTTATTGCCTAGCATGTGATCTTTTTTGGTGAATGTTCCTGCAGTCTTCTACTATGATTGTGACTTTTTAAGATCATTAATTTCACCAGCTTTTTAAGTATTTTGAATTTCTCTTATTTATTGTATTTATATTTATAATTTGTTGTATCTTTCCTATTTATTGACCTTTATATCATATGGAGTGTGCCCTTTTTGTCTGTGGTAGTAGCATTCTTTGTGTTGAAGTATATGTCATCTGATAGTGTATTGCTGTTTTGTTTGATCATGCTAATTTCCTTTCATTTTTTAACTTGAATTTTTGTTGTTGAAATGTGTTTCATCTGATAATGAATAACCATTTAGCTTAATTATGCTAAATTTCTTTCTAATTCTTTCACTTAAATTTGTGTTTTTGCATCTCCTGTAGACAGCCTGTAATTAGTTCATCTTTTTTAAAATCCAGTCTGACAACCTCAGACTGTTGGTTGAAATGTTTAGGCATTTACACTCAATATAATATTGTTATGTTTGTGGTTAATTCTGCTGTGTTGCTATTTTCTATTTTTGTCTCTTTTTTTTATTCCTCTGATACTTTTTCCTTGCTTCTTTTGTCTTAATAAAAGATATTTTATTTGCTCTTTTGGTTTTCAGTCATCAGATTTTTTTAAATGGTTACTCTAGGAATAACAAAATACATTTTTTAACTTACCCCATCTGTGGCTATTTCCACATACCTCTCACCAACCTTAGTGTTACTGTTAAATATATGTATCTCTATAAACCCATCAGTATTCTTGTGTGGTGCTATATGTGTTATACTTACACCTTTAAAGTCATCTGGTTTTTTTTTTTTTTTTTTGGTTTTTTTTAAGATTTTATTTATTTATTTGACAGAGATTACAAGTAGGAAGAGAGGCAGAGAGAGAGAGAGGAAGGGAAACAGGCTCCCTGCTGAGCAGAGAGCCCGATGTGGGGCTTGATCCCAAGACTCTGGGATCATGACCTGAGCCAAAGGCAGAGGCTTTAACCCACTGAGTCATCCAGGCACCCCAAAAGTCATCTGTCTTTTAAACAAATTAGAAAATAAATATATAATCATTTACATACATATGTGCATGTGTATGTTTATGCACACCCACATATACTTTTTTTTTCTTCTGCCTCTGTCTCCTCCTCACACACATTTTATATTGTACTTTCATGTTATGTAGTCCCATATTATCATTTTCAGATATCTTCATTTCTTCTTGTAAATCTCAGTCGCCATATTTTGTCATTTGCCTTCAATCAGAAGAAGCTTTAGCCTTCTAAGAATACAGATCTGTTAGCAAGGAATTTTGTGGTTTTGGTTATCTGAAAAAAAATAAAATAAAAAAGGCCTGTATTTTGCCTTTATTTCTCTGTTGAGATTTTCTATGTGTTTATTCACTGTTATTATATTTTCCTTTAATTCTTGTGTGTGTATCCCTTTACCTTTTGAATAATGTATCTATATGTATGTATGTAATATATGTATATCCTAACTATTTTGAGAGCCTTAACTGCTAAATCTAATATACCTGTGCCCACCTAGGTTATAGTGTTGACTATTTTCTGCCACATATAGGTCATGTTTTTCTCTTTCCTTTTTCCTTTTCTTTCCTTGCCTCTCCCTTCCCCTTCCTTGCTCCTTTCCCTTTCTTACAGTTAAACCCAGAATACATATTTACCAGTTTTCCAAAACTGCTTTTGGATGGTTTCCAGTCTCTTAAAATCTTTTTTTTTTTAAGATCCTTTTTTATTGTCTGTAAAACAGTTAAGCAGCTATTTCACTCCCCCACCGAGTTTGTAGTCAGTTATTGCATTTTTTAATTTCTTGAAGTTGGCTGTTTTTCTAATTTCCTATTTTACCTTTTATAGTTTCTAATTCCCTGTTAATATTTCCAGAGTTGTCTTTTATTTCTTTAAATGTAGTAAGCACAATTGTTTTAAACTATGTAGCTGATAATTGTAGTATCACGTGATCTTTGTAGATATGTTCTTGTTTCTTTTCCCTCAATGATGGTTTCTTATGTCATCATGTATATAATTACTGATCATTTGGTGCTTGTTGCCCTCAAAAATTATTCATGAGAATTGTTCATGTGAAGAGCCTTTTTGTTTCTTCCAGGTTATCTAAGAGTACTACCAATCCGGAAGCACTTTAAATTTTGGCTTACTTTTCCTGGCCACCTAGTAATGTAGATTTATACAGCAAATCCACATGATGGCCAGTCTGTTGTTATAATCTTAAATGTTGTTGGCCTAGAGGTTTATTTTTTCTTCTTATCTGACATTCATATCTTATAAAGTGATTTTTTTTATACTTTGCAGGGCATTTTTACTTTCTAGTTGAAAGGTCAGTCCAAATAATGCCTTTTTACTATTTTATCAAAAATGAATGCCCTCCTTGTTCTTTTAGCTCTTTCTAATTCAAGAACAAGTCTTTATAAACGTAAATATTTGACTTAGAAAATTTATTAGATTTATGATCTGTATAAAAGCACATGAAATAATAAACATCTCTAACAAATACATATTTAATGAAAGAAATATGGATTGAATATAACTGTATAAAAGTAAAGTGATATGTTTTTCTAATCACTAAAATGGATTTAATTTATATAAAATTGTTGATTACTGAAGTCGTCCTGAAAGCCTCACGGTTTGACCTCTGCATATGTAATATACTATAACCAGCACCCTTTGTTTATACTAATCATTTTGCTCTTTTTTTGGTAGTTAGCACAGTATGAGTGACTTACCAATCCTATTTCTTAATTCAGTTAAGCCTATTTTTAGTAGACATGCCTGTGATATTTTAAGGGGTCTTCGGCAGGGCTTGTTTTCCATATTGTTCTTAGTTTTAAAATCTTTCCTAATATCTTCATTGGTATTTTAGTGGGAGACACTGGTATTAACTGATGTTAATTAAATTTAAATTAATTAAATTTAAAGATTTATTCCTTTTAGAGAGAGAGAGAGAGAGAGCTCACAGATGTGTGAGTGGGGAAGGGGCAGAGGGAGAGAATCCCCAAGCATACTCCCTGCTCAGCCTGGAGCCCGACCCTGGTGATCTCACATTCCCAAGTTCATGACCTGAGCTAAAACTAAGAGTCTGAGTCGCTCAACCGATTCAGCAGCCCCCAGATGCCCTCTTTTCCCCCTTTTAAAAAATTTATTGTTTTTATTTTATTTAAAATTAATTAGTTAACATATAGTGTGTTATTAGTTTCAGTGGTAAGAGTTCAGTGATTTATCAGTTGCCAGTTGCCTTTTTAAACCAGAAACACCCCTTAGGTTTTCAAAGAAACAGTGACTTAATATGGCTTATCTCCAAAGGATCCCAGTCATGTGTTCATTTGACAGATATTGAAGGTTGTCTAGTTGCCAGGTGCTTAAGAAATTTCCGCTTCTGGCGCAATAGTTCCAATGTGCATGGGATGTGTGTGTGTGTGTTTGTGTGTGTGCGTGTGTGAGAGAGAGAGAGAAAGAGAGAGAGAAGCGTTTTTATCAAGATCTATTTTCCTTATAAGGGCACATACTAAATTTTGAAGGTTGTAATATTTGACTTTAAAATTTGTGTTTAGCTAGCAGTTTTTAGGAGTAGTGCATCTAAAATTTTATACTGATTATTGGTTATAAAATATTTGATTTTTGAATATTATGTTTAAAACCAGCTTTTCACATAAAGTCCTAAGGAGTCTAACTATGGTATTGGGCTAAATCTCATGTACAGTCATCACTTTCTAGTTGAAGCATAGGGCAAGAACTAAAGTGGCATGAGTCTTAATTCCTTTTCTGTTGTTATTTCGGGTATACCTTTGGGCAAATTCAGTTTTTTATATTGGAGCAGGTGACCAATAAGATAGTTTAATACTCAATAACAGCAAAATTTGGCTCAGGTAAGAGATAGTAAAATAAAATTGATAATGCTGTCTTTCTAGAAAGTAGAGGAAAAAAATAGCCTATCTTTCCTCAACCCGTGTTCTATTCATTTAACATGATCTGGTGAGAACAGTGAAGCCAGAATTCTTTCCCTTCATGTTCAGGAAATCTGTAAGGCAGCTCTTGTAAAACTTGCAGACTTATTTGTAATCCTATGAATTATTATCAGTAGGGAATGTGACTGAATTATATATATGAAACATAAAACCATACCCAGGAACATGTAAAAATTTGGACCTTTAAAGCTGCATTGCTAAGTGAGCATCGTTGGGTGTTTGTAAGTTTTTCTATTAATATTTGTTTGGCATTTAAAATCTTAACATTGAAGAAATTTTTTCCATTTGACTTTTTTTTTTTTTTTTCCTGTGGACTGGGCAAAGCTGCTCTTAGTTTATTTTAGCAGTGGAATATCTGAGTTAAACTTTCAGTACACCAGTTTTGAGATGGAGCATATTTTGGGAAACCTCTCTCTGAGGTGATATATTTTAATCTATCCTTTCTCAATTTCGGTAATTCAGTAGCTAATAAAGAAAATTGCTCATTTAAAGGTATGTGAGCTTTGAAATGCTAGTTTACAACAATTCAAAAAGTAATGTTGACAAAATATTTTATTTTCATTATTTTAGTATAAGCCTCCTGCACTTAAAAAGTCAAATTCTCCTGGAACTGTACCATCAGGATCTTCACGGTTACCACAACCAAGTGGCACTAGCAAAACTGTTGTAGGTAATGAGCTCCATAAATAACTTGGTTTTTTTATTGTTATTATTGTTGGGTTTTGTTTGTTTGTTTGTTTGTTTGTAGAGACAGAAATGAAGATAGTGTTCTGCTTGGGATTATTAAAATCAGTTTATAATTAGGAAGAGATGTGGAGGCTATGTAATTCTTTCTGGGTAAAAATAAAGTAACTTTCAAAAACTTTCTACTTAGGCTACTTTATAGGCCTTTTTTCCCGCCTTAAATGTCTATTCTTGATGTTGTTACTGATATTTCACCTATTCAGAGTGTCGACCAAGTTCTTTTCTTGATTCTTTGACCACAGTATTGCCCCCTCATTTCTATATATACTGCTCTGAACTTGACAGTTGTCCTAATAGACACATGATTAATGACTTGAAGGAGATATTGACTAACTGAAGTATAACTTTATTTATATGTAAATTATAATAAAGAAATATGAAAATTAGAAATGAAGGATGCTATATATTCTCTGGAAATTTAATTTTTAATAAACCCTTTCTTAGTTGATAACTTGTTTGGATTTATTGCTGCAAAAATTTATTGCCCCTAAAGCATTGTTTTCCTTGTCAGGTGCTCTGTTTTATGTGATTTTTCCTTTTCAGAATGTCATTAAAACCAATAACCTTTTTTATTATAAGGTGTGCCTTCAGGTAAAGTGTCTTCAGTTAGCAGCTCTTTGGGAAACAAACTTCAGACCTTATCTCCTTCCCATAAAGGGATAGCAGCCCCTCATGTAGGGTAAGTCTATTTGAATTTAATTGATTAGTGATACACACACACATACACACACATATATACACTCCATACGCAAATGATACTAAGGTTTTATTTTATTTAGGTAATTGACTTTTATTAACCTTGATTTTCTTTCTAAAGTTCATTTCCCTTTTAACGTATTGCTGGTCAGGGGCGCATACACTACTGTTGAAGTTCTAAATTAGGATAACCATTTTGGAAAAAAATTTGGTGGCATGTATCCAGAGCCCAAAAAACATTCGTACTTTTTGAATAATTTTACTTCTGGAAATCTAGTCTAGGGAAATCATTTGAAATACAGAAGATTTTTGTGTAACCATTACTTATGAAACATTATGTATCAGGCACTGTGTTAGACATTTTTTTCATATATTTTTATTAAAACCACCCTACCACCATAGGATGAGGGTCAGAGAAGCAAAAACAATTTGCTCAAAACCACACAACTATTAAGAGTTAGAAGCAGGATACAAATTGGAGTCTCTTTGGCTCAAAACATTGTTTTTTTTTCGTATGGTTTGATTACAATGTTAAAAAAAATAAAACCACCTAAATTTCTACCTTTGTTTGAATAGCAAATTATAACAATCTATACAGGGATATTATCCAACTATAAAACATATAATTCTACTATAACAGGATAAGAATGTAGGATACAAACTCCGATGTATACTGAGATAGAAACTATAAAAATGTGTGTAGACAAAAAAGACAAAATATGCTGAATATTAACAGTGGATGATTATTTTCCACTTATTTAATACTTTTAATATACTTTTTATCTTTCTACAGTTTTATATATGTGACTTTTAAGAAAGTAGTATTATTAAGCTTTCCACAATTATTTTAATGTGGGAAAAATGGTTGGTAACACTAGAGATTTTAAAAATCCTCTTATCTCAGTAGAAACTCCCTTTCTCTTCCATTTTGGTAAATCAGAAAATTTAAGGGTTACCATGTGATCTTTAGAATGAAGGCTTAGTATATACTTTACAGATACTATTAAAGTTGGTTTAGGAAATACAATGCTCATTATTTTCAGATATGGGTTATCACTTTTTTTTTAGTGTAGGAAATATGTATAGGGTTATTTATCAAGTGAGAGCAACTGTCTTTTGTTTTCTAATTTGGACTACACAGAAAGTACAAAATATAAAAGGAGTTCAATATAATTATCATTGTAGAAAAAGAAAAAAATCAACTAACAAGATCCAATTAGTTTAAATGTTTTTTCTTTTTGTTGTGCTTCCAAAAAGAAAACATAGGCTATCCTTAAGAAAGAGAGAGGTTATCAGTAGAACAGGAGGCTGAAAAGTAAAATGTTCTCATCTTTCAGTGGTAAAAAAAAAACTGATTTTGTTTTATTTTTTAGTTTCTCTACGGAGTTGACCCATCATTTTTAGTTAAGATGTAGATGGCAATATGTATTTTAACTTTTACAAATCCTTTTTACCATATCACAGAATTGCCTTCCATGTTGTGTTATAGTTTGATTTATGAACTATGAATTAAAAGCTGATATTTTTTAGTGCCTTTCCCCTCATACTGGTAATTTTGTCAGATGGCCATATTAAGTTGTACTCACACTCTCCCTTGTATTCTTAATCGGGCTTGTTAAGCTAGCTGGTGTAATGAAAAGTGGCACTAACTTTGGATTAGAAAACTAGGCTTCGAGATCCTACTTTGCCAAAGAATACCCATATGACTTGTTGCATATCTCCTTTGTCTCACTCACAACATTCTGTGACTTTGGTTAGATGTTGGCAACTGATCTAACACAATTTGACCAACATTATATAATCCCTAGGAGAAAATTTGTCTTTATTATAAAGCAAAGACTTTGAGCACAGTAATTTTACAAATTATGCTCTGCTTACAATGCCATAAGATTTAAAATTTCTTGTGGTCTCACATCATATTAAACTGTCAAACATAACTGTGTAGATCCCAATTGTACATTTTATATATAGTCCTTATGTGTTAGAAGAATGTTTCTGTAAACACCAAGGTGTGTGCTTGGTGTTTGCTTGTGGCCGATATATTACCATATTATCTGTAACATTACTATATTACTATATTAAATAGAACCTTTCATGGCTATCTATTTAGTGGCAGAGTTCATTTTTTTCTTTTCTTTTTAAGAATTATTGAGTGTATTGACTTGTTATTTATTATGTTGTTTTTTTCCTTTGTTAGATTGTAAGCTCTGTGGTAGCAACGCTCTGTGTGTCTGCCTTGCTTACAGATGTAACTATAAAATGTAGTATAGTGTCTCGCATCTAGACACACAATAAATTTTTGGTGAATAAATGAAACAAATAATGAATTAACAAATTAAATCCCTCATTTGTCAACCTGTTGGCACATCATAGAACCATGGTCCTGGTACTGGTGGGATAATTGAGAGTTCTATGGCAATCATTATTTCTATGGCTGCAGATCCTTCAGGACTGAGTAAAGGTGGAATTAAGACATCTGGTTAGCTGTAGAAAGAAATGAAGATCCTTCTGAGATTAGTGAAATAGACCCATTTCAGTAACTCAGGGTTGTTTAAAGCCTTGTGTATATAATCTTTATTGTGGCCAGCTTTATTCATGCATACTAGTGATCTGTAATATTTAGCATATATTGGAATCACACTGCAGAAAAATTTATCTTGCAAAAATTCTTGTTTGTTAGTTAACTTCTAGATAACCTGTGGGTCAACCAGTTTTATCACATTTTTTTAAAAGCAAAAAATTCCCTCAATGGAAAAATGTTCTCTTATTGTAAAAGATGACTATCTTTAATCCTAGGGAATTTTAGAAGTATGGTAAAACACAAAGATTTTAAATAAACATTACCATATTTGAATTGTGTCAGCGAATTTATACAGTCATGCCTTGAGATTTGTGTTTTCTTAGTGGTCAATTACCAACCAAAATAGACATTTTAGCTGATAATTTTCAGTAGTTAAAATATCAAATATCAAAGATTTACTTCTGTTCAGTTGCTATGAAAAACAAAAAAACAGGTTTTTTGTTGTCTTTCCCCAAACAGACATGAAAAACTAGAGCAACAGAACGCATTCAAGAAGCATTTCTTAATAAATTGCATTTGATTTCTCATACTTTAATTATATTGACAACAGTAAGAAACAAATATCTGGTTTTTAAGTACATTTTTGTATAAGTAGAAACAGGCTTTTCTCATAAGCCAGTCTTTTGGTTTTGTGTGAATTGAATTTGTGTGGAACATTGTTTAGATTTTTATGAACTTCTCTATCATTTATTATTTATCTAAATGCCTAAAACAACCTAGAATTGTAGTGTGGCTTCTTACGTGGATACCAGTGATTGAGGTTATTGGTTTTGCCATATGTATAAGATTTGATAAGTTTAGGATCAAAAGTAGAAGTGTGACACATTTCAAAACTTTAAATGCCCCAGAACATCATAACTATGTGTGTCTGTGAAGATACAAAATGCAAAATGGTAGATTTTTTCCAATATTATTTCAGAAGTCATCTTTTTATTATATCAGGGTTGTCATAGTCTTGTAAGACTGATTGGCTTGCATGCTCCTGAGTAATTCACTCTTATGGTATCAACAATAAACAAGGACCTTCCCAAGGTCAATGTTTATTTCAAAGTAAAACCTATTCCAGTAGGTTGATTTCATTGCCAAGTATTTCTTAAAATGTGAATTCATTCCCAGCTATAAATATTTTGAAAGCTTGCTAAAGTATTATTCCTTTTTAGATACACTATTATATTGGGGCAGTTTACTCAACTGCATATAGTCATTTTATATTAAAAAGTCTTGGTCAAAATTACAGTTTATCATCTATAGAATAGATTAGTTTGACAGTAATATATATTTGTCTGGGATTACAAGATAATATTATTATCTATCAAAGTTCTTTAATATATGGAAAACCTTTATTTATTTATTTTTTTTAAGATGTTATTTATTTATTTGACAGAGATCACAAGTAGGCAGAGAGGCAGGCAGAGAGAGAGGGGGAAGCAGGCTCCGTGAGCAGAGAGCTGATGCAGGGCTCGATCCCAGGACTCTGGGATCATGACCTGAGCCGAAGGCAGAGGCTTTAACCCACTGAGCCACCCAGGCGCCCCTATGGAAAACCTTTAAAAATCACTGATATCCTTTCAAAATCTTAAAATACTGGCATCCTCTCATATATGGAAATTTTATATTTTAGAGCAGTTGATCTTTTTGAACTATGACCTGAGAGCCAAAACCTGTCCAACAACTAGTTTATTGGAATATGGCCACACCCAATTATTTATGTATTGTCTGTGGCTGCTTTCATGCTACAATGGCACAGATGAGTATTTGTGACAGAGATAGCATAGCCATTAAAGCTTAAAATATTTACTGTCTGGCCCTTCACAAGAAAAGTTGGCATTCTCTATTTTAGAATAAGTAAATTACCATAGAAATTGGACATTTATAATTTGAAGTTATGGATTTTAAGGATTATTTAACAGTAGAAATATATATATATATATATATATATATTTAAGTCATGTGAAGTATCTGGAAACTTTGTAGGCTAGTGGTCCATGGAACCAAAGGATTTTTTTTTTAGAGATTTTATTTCTTCATTTGACAGAAAGATCACAAGCAGGCAGAGAGGCAGGCAGAGAGAGAGGGGAAAGCAGGCTCCCTGTTTAGCAGAGAGCCCAATGTGGGGCTCAATCCCAGGACCTGAGATCATGACCTGAGCTGAAGGGAGAGGCCTAACCCACTGAGCCACCCAGCCGCCCCACCAAAGGATTTTTAAACTTTTATTTATCCAACGCATTTCTGTGCTTGCATTGAAAGAATAACAAGAAGTTAAAAATATACTTTGATGTTGACTCTAACCAAATCTAGGTACCAATTTAAGGACATATCTTTGAATTTCATATGGGATTGAAATCGTATTACGTATATCGAATTGCTTAGTCTGCACCAGATGTGTGCTATGTGGGTGTGCTTCGTTGACTTCACAATACCCTCTTATGTTTTCCTTAGCAGTGGCAAAACTGCATCTACTGCTGAATGGATTTATTTATTTCAGCCCAATTTCTTTCAGCCCTTGGGTATATAATCAACATTACCAAATTGAAACTTTTAAAAGAAAAATAGTATAGAAACACGCTAAAAACATTAATATTGATAGTTCCATTGTGGATTACTGCCACGTTGAAATTATGTTCCTTATAATTTAAAAATACATAATAAAGTAGGTTTTTTGTTGTCTTTCCCCAAATTTATTAATTCTCAAAGTAACTCTAGATGTATAAATTCAGTGTTAACATCAGTAAAGGTAATTTTTTTTCATAGCTTGAAACATCCAGTGCCCCTGAGGTCTGAACATAACATGAAATAGACACAGGCTTCCTGGTTCTTATACTCATTTTATTTCTTTCCTTAAGTCAGTTATTGATGATTTGCAAGACCAAGAAAGGCAAAGAAACTTCAACCAAGGATCAATCTGTTGAATTGAAGCCTTCGAACACCTTTTTAAAACACCTTTTTAAAAGTTTACTACTTTTGCAAAGATTTTAATTTCTTCCCAAATATCCCTTTGTCTTGTTGCTGCTTTGACTTAACTTTAGTCCTGTTGGAGATTGAGGAACCAAAATGAAGGGATTTGATAGAAAAGGAGATGTGAGCAAGGAAGTGTTCATGCTCACTAAAATAAATATGAAGATGGTACAGAGAGATGGTTTGTCATATCTTAAGATGAGGGTTAGTTTAGGGAAAGATTTAAATACTTTCATGAACTAATAACTTTTAAATTTATATAATTACCACAATGCAGATTATTATTGCATGGCAAAAAAAAATATACATGTAATCAAGATTTTATATATAAAAATATATTCAAATATATAAAATTTATATATAGATTTGTACAAAAATTATGTGTAGCTTATAAAAATAAATACACTATATAAATTTTTACATAGTAAAAATACAAACTTGATTTTATTATTGAGACGAATTTTGTTTTTGTTTGGTTATACCTTGATAACAACATAGAATAACAGTAACAAATTATAGAAGAACGTAAGTGATTTGAACTTAAGAATAGCATTTACTGACATTTAGCCTACGTAACATTTGAATTGTGTGTGTGTATATGTATATATAAATCACATATACATATACATAGGTAGGTAGATCATCTGAGTTGAATTTATAACACAGCAAATGGACAAGAAAACAAATCATCTTTGGAACCTGCCATTCAAGTAGGATTTCAAAATCTGAAAATACTGGTTAATTCTCTCATATATAGAAAATGTATGCATTAGATAATTACTTTTAGATTTTTATTAGATTTTACTCATCTCCCTTCTCAAATTGACTTTGTTGTGTCATTTGTAAGATTTGAATGTTTCTATCCTATTAGAGAAATGTTTTAAAAATGTAGTTTATAATTTTCTGAATTTTAAAATTTCTAAATCTTAATTTCAGTCACTTCTGAGAAAGAAAATAAGCTTTTTAATCCTTATTCCAAAGCCACATATATCTTTTGTAAGATAACTGCTGTTTGGAAAAATTAATGTTTTGATAATTGTTAAGCAATTCAAAGAAGAATCTGATTTTTACTAAATTTTTACTGACTTACTAAATAGGTAAAATTTTTAGTAATCTTGTATAAATAAAAACCCATCAAATTTTAATCTTAAATATTTTAGAAATTATGTAAAATATATACATTTAATGAAGCTATTTTTAATGTTACATTAGTTTTAGGTGTACATCATAGTAATTCATCTTCTCAATATGTTATTGCTATGCTCACTACAGGTATAGCTACCAGCTGTCACTAGACAACACTATATTACCAGTGACTATATTCCTGACACTCTGTGCCTTTTATTCCCATTACTTATTCATTCCTTAACTGGGAGCATGTATGTCCCACTTCCCTTCACTCATTTTCCCTTCTACCTACCTCTGTCCCCTCTGGCAACCATCAGTTTATTCTCTGTAATTATGGTTTGAATCTGCTCTTTGTTTATTCATTTGTTTTTAAGATTCCACATATGAGTAAAATAATATGGTATTTGTCCTTCTAATCTGACTTATTTCATTTAGCATAATTCCCTCTAGGTCGTCTGTGTTGTCCCAAATGGCACAATCATCTTGTTTTATGGCTGAGTAATATTCCTGTGTGTGCGTGCATGTGTGCGTGCGTGTGTGTGTGTGTCTATACACCACATCCTAATGAAGGCATTTTTTAAAGAGTTTAAAATGTTTTGAATAATGTGATGTTAACACCTAATGCAAGCACCACCATCTGCAAAGTACTAATAACAACTTTTATAATAAAATACCTGCTATGTATAGGATACTGAAAGAATATAAATATTAATAAAGTGTGTCCCTCTGTAGAGCCCTTTATAATCTAGAACAATGAACAGCTTCTTTTAGACACTAAATGCCATAAGAATAAGCATCAGGTATGTTTCATTTACTACAGTGTCCCCAGAATGTAGCATAGTGCCTGATACATAGTAGGTGCTCATGATTTGTGGGATTAATGAGTAAGTCAAAGAGTGCATTGGAGCAAACAAGCATCCCTTAAAAAGAGTATCCTTTTAAAGTTAACGAGCAGTAATGTGTTATTCAGTAGTCATTTAAGATAGTTCGCCTACCTTCCTAATTTAATTTTCACTGCTCCCTACAATGAGTGAATATTGGTTGGTAATACTACATAGGATTCAGTTATTTGGTTGATGTAAAACAATGACATCTCTACAAACCCGCAGTTTTTCCTATTTTCCTCCAGGTGGAGCTCCTTTATACTTTTAAATATTTAATATTTAATATTCTAATATTCTATTTTAAAATAAAATAGAAAACTTCAGATGGCAGGTCCACTTAACATTTCTACATGTGATTTTTCAGATTGCCAACCCTGTTTTTTCATACATCATGCTTTATATTCTCTGTACAAATTTCATGGTCATTCTTCATTAGAAAATCAGAGTTAAAGATATAAATATCATTTATTTGATTGCTTTATACTTGGAATTTTAAAATGCAAGAAAAATAATAAAATAATAAGAAAAAGGAGAAAAGTACTATGAAGTCAGGGAAGGAGAAAAATTAGATTATTTGTGAACTCAAGAAGGAATATCAGCTCAGTCTTACTTATCAGGATAGTAACTTCTAGTTCACGTTTAGGTTCACAAATTTTATTTGAAACAATTCTTGTCCTTCTTAAGTTTCTTTATTGCTTCCAATGCCCTGCTATGTATAAATGTGGCATTTGTTTGGGTGTTCGTCACAACTGGCAGGGTGGCTGGGAGCGGCAGAATTGTCATATCTAATGGCGGACATTGTATGATATCCAAGGATTCTTTTTGACAGTCCTTAGCCTGCCAGTCCAGTAATTAAGAGCTTGGGGGGTAGATGTCTGATGAACCAGAATAATGTTTAAAAAAAACTTTTTTTAATATAAAGAAACAAACAGCAGTCTCCTTATGGGTACACCTTTATATATTTTAATAGTAAGATGGACAAGTTAGGCCCTCCACTTCGAACTGGAAGACATGTGCAAAGGTTGTATGACAGTGATACAAAATCAGACAGTGCCATCAAAAGACATGAGTTATTACCCATTTACAAGTAAGTATTTGTAACTCAGTTTGGTTAACCTTTTTCAGATATTTCCTTAAAGCCTTTGTATAATTGAATACTATAAACTTATACATTCCTATATTTTAAAATATCTTATTTTAATCATTTTTAAGCTAAGAAGTACTAAATAATCTTAAAGGATTTAAAACACTATGTGTCAGATGAACATTTCTGTTGTTCTAAATAAAGCTGTTTTTAGCATACATTTATTTCTATTAAATTTGAACTTTTAGAGGGGTTGAAATAGCAGTCACCTTCAATGATAGTTATCTTTATGAAGCTTTCTTTTAGGAGTATATATATATATTTGAAGATTTATTTATTTAAGAGAGAGCATAGGGCACAGGGCAAGAGGGGCAGAGGAAGAGGAAAAAAGACTCCCAAGTAGACCCCACCCTTGCATGAAGCCTGACACAGGTCTTAATTCCATGATCCCAAGATCACCACCTACGCTGGAATCAGGAGTCAAATGCTTAACGGACTCTGCCACACAGGCACCCCTTAGGAGTAATATGTTCAAAAAGAAGAGTACAGGGGATATTATGCCATACATAGTATGTAATATTGCTGTATTATTTTTTAGTTAGGATGATTAATTATTATAAAAAGGCAGAAAACAGATTTTAGAGAATATTCAGTCCAGGGATTTTTAGTCTTTTGGTTAAATTTCTACAAATTCCACATAAAATTGGGGAAAAGATATGACACTCTCCTCTGTACTGGCACAGAAAGCTGAAAACGGATGAGTGGCAAGGGCAGTCACCTTGGAACTCTTCCATAGATGTCTTCAGGGTTTTCTAGATTGGGCTCCAATACCAACTCTGGCTCTCTCATTTTAAAATGATGAAATTTGAATCAGATAAATTACTTGTTAAAGTTGAAAAATACATTATTAAACAGAGTTCACTTAGTTAACTTTTATTTTTATTTTTTTTAAAGATTTTATTTATTTATTTGACAGAGATCACAAGTAGGCAGAGAGGCAGGCAGAGAGAGGGGGAAGCAAGCTCCCTGCTGAGCAGAGAGCCCGATGTGGGGCTCAGTCACAGGACTCTGGGATCATGACCCCAGCCAAAGGCAGAGGCTTTAACCCACTGAGCCACCCCGGCGCCCCTCTTAGTTAACTTTTAAACCAACTCCTACTACAGCATTGTCTTACCACATATGAAAAGAAGGATTAATTTGATTAAATAGAAAATAAAGATGGGAGAAACCTTTAAAATATTAGCAGCACCCATGTGTTATTTGTAAGTAGTTCATGATAAATGATATGAGGAAGAATTTGTGCCCTGAGCCATTTTTCTTAGTACTGTTGTTGTTCTCTAGTCTCTCTGAAACATATTTCAAAGAAACACTGATTAGCAATAAGATAGAGTAAGTATAATTCCAAAACTAAACCTTCTTTTGTTATTTTTGACCTAGAACAAGCAGACTGCAGGTATAGAATAAGGGTAGCATTTTTCAAACTCTGGACAGGTACAAAAAAGTGTTGACCATGTGAGATTATGGCAACATGTTTTAAGTACTAATCAAGACTGTTCTTTCCAATCTCTTAAGAATGGTTCCCTATACTCAGATTCTACCTCTTAGAAACAGTTACTAAAAGTACATGATAGGTAGTTAAGAATGATGGTTACTGATGATAATCTTATTTTCTCTAATTTTTCTTTTCTTTTTTTCCCCTCTAGTTTTTATTTTCTAATTCTTTGAATAACTTCATTGCTATGGTGAGGCTATGTGTCTATATCCATAGGTGTGTTTGTATTATCTGTGTATCTCATGTACATATTAAATGAAGGTGATAGGATTTCTAACAAGGCTTTGTTCAAGAGCCAGAAAATAAAAAATGTGTCCTTTCTAGTTCTCTTACAACTCTCACTGGAGGAATTGCTATCGTTTGGCAATGATTTTCATAGAGATTGAATTCCTGAAAAGGTACTATAGCAGTTCAGCTTCCTAGAGGGCTATTTAAGAGTAGAGTATACGTCATGGTTAGACTGTCAGCGGGCATTGGAAGAGGGCCAGGGTAACCCAATCATGCACCAAGGTGATTCTAGTCAAAGTTTAGAAAAAATATGAAGTAACTATTGAAAGCAGCCTCTCTTTGAGCAACAGACAGAATTCCATATTGAATATAAGATTTGTAATATGACCCACATAAATTCAGGTTCAAATACTGTGGCCTTGTAATAGCTTTGCAGCTTACTTAATTTCTCTAATATGATTTTCTTCAACTTTAAAATGGGAATAATATCTTCTGAGATTTCTATGAAGATGAAACCAAGTAAAGTATTCATAGTACCTGGCATCATATTTAGCATTCAAAAAATAGATGTAGTTATTATTACCTGTGTATATTTTGGAGGTAGCTATGTAGAATTTTCAGACTCTTCAGCTTTGCTTTATAAAGGGGAAAAATTTTGCCATAGTTTAAGAACTTACAATCTAAAGGAGTTTTTAAAAGTATTCTGTTTGTTGCTATAACACAATATTGCATATCTCTGAAATGAAAAGATTTGACTAAATCTCTAAAGAGGAACTAGCTCTTTATTTACCATATGACCTCAAGTTCAGCAACATACTGGATGTCACCTTGGTTGTTACTTAACCACTCTTTGCCTCAGTTGCCTCATTTCTAAAATGGAGTTATTAATACTACTTAATCCATTGGATTATTATGAGGATAAAGTAACTTTATATATGAAAGCAATTAGAAATTTATACCAAATGTAGTAATAAGCAACATTTTGTAAATGTTAACTAGGAACAGTATCAATATCGATAATAGTAATAGTATCATCATCATCATCAACTATTCTGAATGTTTATATAAATTGCAGTTGGTATCCACAATTTCTTCTAAGGTAAGTGATGATAGTCATACTTTATAAATGGGGGAACTTGGATACAGGTTGGCCACTACCTCCATATTAGTCAGTAGCAATTGGGATTTGAATCCAGATTCATCTGAATCTCAAATCCTATACTTTTACCATTGTACCATCATTCAACCCTCTGAGCTTTCTTTGATTCCTGAAATTTCATAAAGGGAATTAAGTGATAATCCAACCAAATCCTCTACTGGTAGCAGATAGCCCAGGCTGTATACTTGGTGAGATTAAATCTTAAAAGGGAAAATTATATTAACGCATTTATTTTAGTTGCTATTTCCAAAAACAGGCTTTCATAAATTGAAAATTATTAAAATGGTTAGCCGATGGTTATTTCTTGGATTTAACCATATCTCATAATATATGACATTATTTAACAGTTATTCATAGGCATTTAACAAGATACCTCTCTATTTTATTGAGGAATTACAGATTTAAATGTTTAAAAACCTGAAGCTTTTCAGGATTATTGACTTAAAATTTCATGTAAAACATACATGTGTGTGTATACATATACACACACACACACATATATGTATGGTTTTTTAAAAATTAATTTTATTTACAATCAAGTTAATGTTAGTAAATGCAAAATGCTTTGGTTTATCCTTTGTTTTAACTACTGTTGTTTTCAGATTTAAAATAATTTAGTTTTACTCTTGAGTTCACCTTTCTACAGCTTCAAAATTAATCATGTATATAAGCAATATAAGAAATAAATGCTTGCTATTCAATACCTTTTCATTATGCCATCTCTTTCTCTCTTCTAGAACTAACATCAAACCTCGAAATTCCACACCACCAAGTTTGGCAAGAAATCCTTCCTCAGGTGTGGTTACAAACAAAAGAAAAACATATACTGAGAGCTACATAGCCAGGTATGTTTAGCTCTGAAAGTCTATTAATTAAAATAAAAATGAATATATGTAGTCTTCTAAGGACCAAATACGAAATATGTATCAGGTTTTTAATAGAAAATCTGATTTTTCCTTTGCTATATAATTTATTTTCACTTTAAGCTGTACACTAAATAGTTTGGGCATAAATGATTTTTTTCATAAATGATATTTTTCTAGACCTTGTAATTATTATTGTCAATGCTTGAGGACAGTTTGTTCACTTTCACTGCATTCATTTGTGTTTTATATCTTAATTTTAAGTGTAACATGATTATTTTTACCTCTGCAAATTGAGTAATAGACCCTTTAAATTTTAATTATTATATTAATAAATATAATATTTATTAATATTATAATTATAATATTATATATAATTTATATAGAAATACATATTATATTATATAATAATATAATATGTAATTATAATATGATATAATAAATATATAATATAATAAATTTTAATTATTATATTAATATAATAATTATAAATATTATAAATAATTATTATTTAAGTATTATAATTTTCAGCAGTATTTAAATTTATTTAAGTTACCAGCTGAGCTTGTGACTATCCATGTACTTCCCTTTCTTATCTGTCACAGTATTTGTACAACTTTGACATTCACTCTGTTTAAGTATAAATCATTCCAGTTATATCTATATATCTATGTATCTATATCTCCTTATTACAGAAAGTTTTAAGGCAGTATACAGAGATCCATGACCTACAGTGAGATAAAATATTATATAAAATTGAAAATATGAAAAGGAAAAATGAGAATTAAGAAATAAAGGAAAAAGAAGGAATGAAGTTAGTCCCCAAAATATGTGTCATAAGATGCTGTATACACGCTAGGCTTCGGCCATAAATTGGATCCAAATTTGTAGTGGCCAGAGTACAGGAGTAGTTAGTTACATGATTCATGTTGTATTAAAAAAAAAAAAAAATCATTTCTCTGTGAGAGCACACCTAGTTCTGAGACCTCAAAAATCTGCCTATGAATTCTCATGGAGTCACTGGATAATTTATTACTATTTTTAAAATTTTATTTTATTTACTTTCAAGTAATTAACACATAGTATATTATTAGTTTCAGAGGTAGAGTCCATTGATTCATCAGTCTTATATAACACCCAGTACTCATTACATCCCATGCCCTCCTTAATGTCCCATCACCCAGTTAATTCATCTCCCTACCCATCTTCCCTCCAGCAACCCTCAGTTTTTTTCCTATGTTCAAGAGTCTCTTATTGTTTGTCTCCCTCTCTGATTTCGTCTTGTTTTATTTTCCCCTCTATAATCCTTTGTTTTGTTTCTTAAATTCCACATATGAGTTCTTAAATTCCACATGAGTGAGATTATATAGTTGACTTTCTCTGATTGACATATTTCGCTTAGCAGTTCCATCCACATCATTGCAAGTGGCAAGATTTCATTTTTTGATGGCTGAGTATTCTAATTTGTAACACACACACACACACACACACACACACACACCCCACATCTTCTTTACCCATTCATTTGTGGACATCTGGTCTCTTTCCATAGTTTGGCTCTTATGGACATTGCTGCTATAAACATTGGGGTGTAGGTGCGTCTTCGGATCACTAGCTTTGTGTCTTTGGGGTAAATCCCTGGTAGTGCAATTGCTGGGTCCTAGGGTAGCTTCTCTATTTTCAACTTTTTGAGGAACCTCCATAATGTTTTCCAGAATGGCTGTACCAGCTTTCATTCCCACCAGCAGTGTGAGAGGGTTTCCCTTTCTCCTCATCCTTGCCAACATCTGTTGTTTCCTGACTTGTTAATTTTAGCCATCCTGACCAGTGTGAGGTGATATATCATTGTGGTTTTGGTTTGTATTTCTCTGATACTGAGTGATGTTAAGCATTTTTTCATGAGTCTGTTGGCCATCTGTATGTCTTCTTTGGTGAAATGTCTGTGTCTTCTGCCCATTTCTTGGTTGGATTATTTGTTTTTTGGGTGTTGAGTTTGGTAAGTTCTTCATAGATTTTGTATACTAGACCATTATCTAATAAGACATTTGCAAATATCTTCTCCCATTCTGTTGGCTATCTTTTGGTTTTGTTGACTGTTTCTTTTGTGCAGAAGCTTTTTATCTTGATGGAGTCCCAGTAGTTCATTTTGCCTTTGTTTTCCTTGCCTTTGGAGATGTAAGAATTTGCTGCAGCTGAGGTCAAAGAGGTCACTGCCTGTGTTGTCCTCTAGGATTTTAATGGATTCCTGTCTCACATTTAGGTCTTTCATCCATTTTTGAGTCTGCTTTTGTGTATGGTATAAGGAAATGGTCCAGTTTAATTCTCCTGCATGTGGGTGTCCAATTTTCCCAACAATATTTGTTGAAAAGACTGTCCTTTTTCCATTGGATATTTTTTTCCTGCTTTGTCCACGATTGGTTGACAATAGAGTTGAGGGTCCATATCCTGGGTTCTCTATTCTGTTTCATTGACCTATGTGTCTGTTTTTGTGCCAGTACCATACTGTCTTGATGATTACAGCTTTGTAATATAGCTTGAAGTCCGGAATTATGATGCCACCTACTTTGGTTTTCTTTTTCAACATTCCTCTGGCTATTTGGGGTCTTTTCTGGTTCCATACAAATTTGGGGATTATTTGTTCCAGCTCTATGAAAAAAGTTGATGGTATTTTGGTAGGGGTTGTACTGAATGTATAAATTTCTCTAGGTAGCTTAAACATCTTAATAATATTTGTTTTTCCAACCCATGAGCATGGAATGTTTTTCCATTTCTTTGTGTCTTTCTCAGTTTCTTTCATGGTTAGGTTTATTCCTAGGGATCTTATGGTTTTTGGTGCAGTTGTAAGTGGGATCAATTCCTTAATTTCTCCTCCTTCTGTCTTATTGTTGGTGTATAGAAATGCAGCTGATTTCTGTCCATTGATTTTATATCCTGCTACTTTGTTGAATTCTGTATGAGTTCTAGAAATTTTGGGGTGGAGTCTTTAGGGTTTTCCACATGGAGTATCATGGCATTGTGAAGAGTCAGAGTTTGAAGAGTCACTGGATAATATAACAGATAACTTGTTTCCTCTGGTTTTATTGAGAAGTAATTATCATACATCAATGTATAAGTTTAAGGCATACAGCATGATGATTTGATTTACATATATTATTGAATGATTACCGTAGTAAGTTTGGGTAACACCCATCTTTTCATACAAATATAATAAAAAGAAGGAAAAAAGCAAAAAAAAAAAAAAATTCTCCATTGAGAACTTGTAGAATTTACTCTCTTAGCAACGTCCCTATCACACAGCAGCATTAGCTATAGTCATTATGTTGTATATTACATCCCTTGTACCTGGTTTATCTCCTAACTGGAAGTTTATACCTTTTGACCACCTTCCTCCAATTCACCTTCCCCATTCAATGGATAACTTCTTAATTAAAATCTCTACTATAAGTATGACAATGCATTTCATAAGATGTTTTTTTAAGATGCCCTCAATACAAGCCTATAACATGATATCCTATGATTCACCAAAATTTGTTGTGATATATATGTGTTATATGTAACTATATATGTTGTCTGCTTTTGTTATAAGTATAAAACATAGACAGCTATCCATTATTCAGATTTAATCCAGGGATAGATTTTTAAATATTCAGGGTTTTAGCTGTCAGTCTTGGTTGTTGCCCTTCAGAAAGAAGCACCTGTGGAACTTTCTAAAAATGAACATGTCCACGTCCTTCCCAGAGAGGTTTTGATTTCTTTGGTTTGGATTTTTAAAATTTTAAGAGTGATGATTATACATAACAAGGGATGAGAACCATAAAGGAATAGGTGAAATGCTACCTTTGCAGATAGATTCTTTCATAAATACTGTTTGTTTCACCTAAGGTTTTGATACATTTTAAATATTAAAGAAGTGAACTTAATGTTTCTTGGGGTCCTGAAGCTGGCTTGCTATGTTGTTGTATATGTGGAGCCTTATGTTTTGAATCCATGCTGAATGTAGGATTAACATTCTCTCATAAAATGGGAAACTTAATAAATACATGTGCTTAAATAAAAAACTCATCTTTCTAAAGAGGTAGACAAATGAAGTGACAACAGGCAGGGGCAAAAATCCCATTAAAAATGAGTTTGAATTCTTTTTTGTTTTCTTTTATTTCTTTCTTTTTAAATGGTTAATATGTGATAGTAAGCCCTGAACCTTGTTCACTTGACTTACTACACTACCCAGATAGAATAATTATAACCACAACAGATGAAGAAATTTCACAGATTTCTTTTTCTGGAAGTGTGTTAGGCTATATTTTCTGGATGGTCCTTCCACCGAAAACACCTAGAAATGCTACACAAAATGGGGCAAATATCCTTCTAAATGTGTAGCTTAGCTCTCAGAAAAGTAAGGGAAACTTCCGCAGGTAAGTAAATAAAGAAAACCAGAGGTCAGTTTGGTAAATTAACTCTGACATTGCACTTACATTTGAGATTTTGACTGATCTTCCCTACTTAAATTCTTGTTTAGTGTCATTTTGGGAGAGAGGACGGTGATTTCTTAGACTTGCACAAAGTGGAGATTTAGAAACTCAGCTTTCCCTTCCCATCTCCTCATGCCCCTTCCTCTAAGCAGGGCTCTTGAAATGTCCATTAAGAGGTTGTCTTAGGCTCGGCTAGAGGTAATCACATGGTAATATATGACATTAGGATTATTTATAGGAAATAGGAAATGACAGTAGGCAGTGTCTGGTGTTACTCTTTCCTGGGAGCCCTTGCCCCAGTCCTGGAGCTGGTTTTCTTTGGCCGTCCAAGTGACAGCTTAGGTATGAGAGAACAAGATCTTAACAGATGTGTGTAGGATCAGTTTAATTGGAAATTCTGTGTCCCCAAAGGGAACCAGTTTCTCTTGTAACAGCCCTGTAGACATAGCTTTCAGGTTGTCTTGAGGGATGTCTAATTTCTGTGGATCGCATGTAAATACTGTTGCCTAGAAACACAGCTGGCATTCCACCTTTTGAAAGGTTTTCATTAAAGAAAGCTAGGAAGTTATCCCCATGTTAGATCTGTTCAAAGAAACAGAAAAAGAGTTCTCTTTATGTTGTACTATATATTAAAATAGAAATGATTATAACTGATATTCTTGTGACATTTCTGCTTTTTAAAGAAAATGCTTCTTAAATGTCACCATTGAACATGAAGACAGATATAGGATTCTATCGTCTACATTTTATCAGTGACATTCCTTTCTATTCCTGATTTTCTAAGTGTTTTTTTAAAATAAAAAATAGGTGGTGAATGTTATTGAATATCATATATATATATATGTAAAATCAGTATTTTTAAATCCCTGAATCTGTTTATGTGATAAATTATATTAATAGACTTCCTAATGTTAAATTAGTATTATTTTCTGGAATAAATCTGAAGTGTCTTGAATTGCATATGTTTGTAGATTGTGCTTGCTAAAATTCTTGGAGATTTACATGTATTTCCAAGTTAATAGTTGTTGATTATAATTTTATATTCTCTTAGTCTGAATATAAAGGTTTTACTGACCTTCGAAAAGAAATTGCGGAATGTTGTTTTTCAACCCCCTCTGCTGGAAAAGCTTAGTAGAAAACTTACCATGATTTTTTTCTTAATATTTTATTTATTTATTTAATAAAGTATATGAGAGAGAGAGAAGGCATGAGTGGGGGAGAGGGGTAGAAGGTGAGGGAGAAGCAGACTCCCTGCTGAACAGGGCTCTATTCCAGGGTCCTGGGATCATGACCTGAGCTGAAGGCAAACATTTAACAGACTGAACCACTCAGGTGCCCCTAGAACTTACCATGTAAAATTATTATGAGTCCACTGTGTGTGTGTGTGTGTGCGCGCGCGTGCGCACGCGAATGTGCGTGAGTGCACACACACCTGGCACATGCTCACTGATGAGGTATGTTAATTACTGATTAACTGATGAGTAGTATGTTAATTACTGATTCAGTCACTTTAATGATTTTATTTACTATTATAGTTGGTTTGAAATCAGTTTTCATAAGATATTTTTCTACGAAATTTTTCACTTCATCTAAGTTTCAAATTACTAGCATAGAATTGTTCTTATAATTTTATATTTCTGCTATCTGTATCTGTAGTTCTATCCTTCTTTCATTCTGAGTATTGTTTATTCCTTTTTTGTTGATCAATCTTGAAAGTTTACTTTATCATTTTAAAAGGACCAAAAATTTTACTTTATTTATCTTCTTCATATATTACTCATTCATTCATTTATTCAATAAAAGTATTTACTGAGAGATGAGTTTATGTCAGGTACTTCTCTTGATCCTAGACTTAGAGCAGTAACAAAACAAAGATCCCTGCACTTGGGGAACTCACAGTCTTGTGGAGAAGACAAGATGTAACAAAAATGACATATATTGCATGTCAGGTGGAAAACAAGAAAGCAAAAGGGGACACAGTTTAGAGTGGCAGTGAGTGTCCAGAGCCATGAGGAATGCAGTACAGGGGATGAAGGATGAAGAATTTGAGTGTGTATAACTAAATTAGACCAAAGGACCTAACAAGATTCAAACTGAGTAATGAGAATTCAAGTGAAAAGACTCCATGGATACAGTGAAAATAACATGACACATTGAGAGAAGTTATATATATATATTGTTTTATAATAGATGTAATAATATATACATATTTATTAAAGTATGTATTTGGAGGAAAGATGTCCGTCTTTCCTCAGGGCAAGGTTCCAGTTTTCTTTTTAGCGATAGTTTTACAGAAGGGACAGTATAAATTTCCATTCTATTCCCATTGTAGTATATGCCTAATACATTGAACAGATGGAAAGTGTGGTGGTATTTGCTCATGAAAAATTCTCATAAACAGGGACAAATATAATGCCAAAGAAAATATTTAGTATTTCATTATTAACTAAAAGGGGGTTTAAAATTTGAACTAGAAAAATATTAAAACTAAGCAAGCTTTTACTTATACTTAGTGTTAAGTACTGTTTTCTAAGGGTTATGAAAACTACTGACAAGAACTTGTGTTTCCACTTTTCTTCCTGTACTCTTTCAGGCCAGATGGAGACTATGTATCTTCACTTAATGGCGGAAACATTAAAGTCATGGAAGGAAATTCAACAGGACACTTACCAAAATTCTGCCATGAGTGTGGGACTAAATACCCTGTAGAATGGGCAAAGTTTTGCTGTGAATGTGGCATTCGAAGAATGGTTCTGTGAATAGAGCCCAAAAAAAGCTAAGTCCAGAATTTTATGATTGTTGCTGCTTGGACAGCTAGAGCACTTCCTTTAGTGATTTTATGCTAAAATTATTCAAAATACTTTTTTCAGCAATTTTTGGAGCATAGTTCTTTGGCTGTGAAATGTGTGTGTATATATATGAATGTGTACATATACTGTATATAATAAATACCTGATACCCCAAACTGTGCCATTCAAGGAAATAGTCACTCATCTGTCAGAGAATAATTTCAAGTGGAATCATTAACTTAGGTAATACTTTTCTGTTACAGTTGTTGAAGCACATTAAGCATACCTTCACAAAATCAAATGCTAGTGCTCAGCCCTTCAAGCTTTAGGATGATCGTTACTTTGAGGAAAAGTCAGAACAAACATTTTTGTTATTGTTGCCTATTTTCACGTAGTATAAGATTGGATGCTTGGAATTTTGCAAGAGAGTATTTTCAGTTGCAGTTAGTTATGTAAGGTCATTTTCCTGTAGAGCTGTTTTACAGTTAATTTTATAAATATTTAAAAAAGAGAGGAATTCAACCTCTACAGGTCTTTGTTGTCCTTTACTCAGTATATCATTAATTATATAATTTAGAGATCTTTATTTATTCTTTAAAATGTAATTATGCAGTTTCCTTTTCAGAGACACAAGACTAAAAAATATAAATGTATTTTATTCTAGTTGTAACTTAATGACTTTTTTTTAACCTCTGTGTGTTAGTTGAATGTATATTCTTTCTATTTCTAATTGTGTCTCCATGTTTCACTTTTTTCTTTTTCATTACCTCATGTCTGAGGAGTTTAGTTTACTACTTCCTTATTTTTGCAAAGTTTGAAAATAATTATTTAATGTAAGAGGCACAAGACTCCTTGCAAAATTCTACATGTTCATTTCTGTGTCTGAATTTAGAAGAAATTATTTTAATGGATTTCAAAGCAAACCACCTGACCCTAATAAATAATTTGGATAATTAATCATTACTGCAGGGCATGCAGGTAAAAAGTATTATTTTTTAATTTCCCTTGAAGTATAGATGTAGTGATGAGTTGGTTAGGGTCTAATTTTTCCTACTTATATTTTCTGTTTAGTGTTTAATATTGAAATACCATTCACATCACAGTAAAAAAAAAAACTGAAAATGCACTGCTTTAATGCACAGCTGACTTACGTAATTAAACATTCACAAAAACTTAATTATACTTTAACTTTGGCTAAAATACAGCTTTTAATTGTCACACTTTCAGTGTGACAGTATTTAGTAGATTCTTTGATTGCCTGTGCAGCCCAGGTTCAATAATTCCTTAGTAATTTCTGTTGAATGGAAAGAAAACAGCTTTGTGTAAGCAAATCTTCTATAGGCCATTTCTAATTTCTCATTTATGATTATGATCAACTGTGTAAGGGTTAATGTAGAAATTTGTGGCTTTTAATTTTCTCTGAAATTTATTTATGCTTATACTTTATAATTGTATTCATTAGTGTTTTTGGTTTTGGTTGTTGTTGTTGTTGTTGTTGTTTTCCGTTCAGGCAAGGGATGTAAACTTTGAGGTAATAGGAATTGTCATTTTATTTACCTTATAGTTTCTTTCCTGACTTTTCATTAACTTTTTTAACCTGATTGTCTTTATTCAGTCATTGGTCTAAAAAAAGAGTCCATTAGCTAGATTAAACTTTAATTAATTTAGGAGAATAATGTACATAAATTAGATTTTCATTTCAATGATATGTGTTATTCTGTCCTGTTATAAATCATACAAAGAACTTTCAACTTTGTTTTCCCTGGAACTGAGCACTATTTTTCGTTTTCCAAGTTTGTTTTTGTTTTTGTTTTTTAAGACCATACAATTTTTACCCTAGGAAGGAGTAGGTAAATGAGCTCAAAGTGGCACATGTTTGTTTCTCACAGAATTTCGCAGTAGCCAGTAAATGTTATAATGTACTACATGGAAAATGAGTTGGTAAAAAATCATCCAATTCTAGAACCCAGAGATTATTATAAACAGTAAGTAGGTGAAGTACACTTATGAATTATGAAACATGTTGTGACAGTGTATTTAAATGCATTTTTGTATTACTTACATATATTATTCTCACATTGATTTGTTGTACAGTAGTTCAGTTTATAAGAAATTTTCCTAGATCTATGCATCATTTACTTTTTTATTTATTTTCACAAGTATTTGCAGTGTGGTCGAATTAAAAAAATGATTGTAAGCTTAAATTAAAAATGTAAAAGTTGCTTATATATTATTCTGAAAGTCATTAGCTTGAAAAATAAGATTATTATGGTTGCTGTTGTCTCTTGTCCACTCTGTTTTTTATTACAAATACTGTCTTCATTTTTGAACCAATTCAATAAAGACAGAAAGCAAAAAAGAAAATTTTCAATTGGTCTTTATTGACGTCATAGCTTTTAACCAGACATAGGTAGTAGAAAGATAAGAGTACACTGAAATATGAAGAAAATATTCCAAGTAAAAATACAGATTTTTTTAAATGAGATAGTAGCTTTTCATTGGCAGGTTTTTTGTGCCATCAGCTTTTGAAGAAATTGCTATTATTTTGTAGAATTTTATGGCATCTAAGTATTACAAATAATGTTTCATTACAAGATTTCTAAGACAGAAAAATTTTCTTTATTCTAGTAAAATATAGCAGTTAAAAACATTAGTGAAGTCAAGGTTGATAGGAAACATTGTGGATATTTCTAGTTAGGTAATATACAGTTTAATGGCAAACAGTACTGGTTTGTGATCAATACTTAGTGATTTAGATGATCATATTTAAAATTTTAAACAGTAGTTGTCTCTAGTAAAAATACAATCAAATTAGACACGTTTGGTTTGTATTCAATCTTCCCTGGGCTAGAGGCGAATACTTTTACCATGAATAGAAGCTGAAGTGAAATGAAATTATAATAGAATGAAAATAATAGAAGAGGTACATAATTACAAAGAAATCTTGTTTGTGTCTTTATTTGCATTGCAGGTATATATGTATTTTATATACTGGATGTATTTTTAGTACTAAGATAGGTTAACTTTTCCAACTGACTATATTATTGAATAGAGCAGTGGAAAAATCATTAAAACTGATTTAATGATAGCCACACTTTCATTTAGAAATTTTTGAGATTACTACTGTCAGAATACTCATAGATAATATTGCCTGGTTTATATGTGAACTGCTTTTTGCCACTAGAGGGTGCTTTTAGATAATTTAATATTGCCAGCTTCCAATTCTTATTTTAAAGGCCTCTCAGCAATATAGGTATGAGATAGATATCATGGCGTTACAGAGATTTATAAAGGACAATTTTTATTTTGTTGTGATTTTAGTAATTCATATGTTGATTTTTTTAAAAGATTTTATTGATTTATTTGAACAGAGAGAGGGAGATCACAAGTAGGCAGAGAGGCAGGCAGAGAGAGAGGGGAAGCAGGCTCCCTGCGGAGCAGAGAGCCCAATGTGGGGCTTGATCCCAGGATCCTGAGATCATGACCTGAGCTGAAGGCAGAGGCTTTAACCCACTGAGCTACCCAGGCGCCCCTCATATGCTGATTTTTAAGAATCTTAGTCTAGGGGTTCTTGGGTGGCTCAGTCGTTAGGCGTCTGCTTTTGGCTCAGGTCATGATACCAGGGTCCTGGGACTGAGCCCCGCATCGGGCTCGCTGCTCATCCGGAAGCCCATTTCTCCCTCTCCCACTCCCCCTGCTTGTGTTCCGTCTCTTGCTGTCTCTCTCTCTCTGTGTCAAGTAAATAACAAAGATCTTAAAAAACAAAACAAAAAAAACAAAACAAAAAACAAAAAACCTTAGCTCATTTTGGGTACCAGGGTGGTAGTAATTAATAGAAATGTTTAGTATTTCCCCTCATACTATTTTGTTAGCAAATTTGTGCATCTCAAATATATTACTCAAATATTACCAGATACTCCTTGTACTATTACTTTAGTATTTCCTCTTAGTTGCACATTTCCTTTTAAGATAATTTTTTTTCAATCATTTAACCCAACTTAATGATATCTAATATAGGAGAGTGACATCTACTTATTATTTTTTATTATTTTATTTTAATTCCATTTAGTTAACATACAATGTTATATTAGTTTCAGGTGTACAATATAGGGAGGGATTCAATACTTATATACATCACCCAGTGCTCATCACAAGCGCACTCCTTAATCCCCATCACTTGTTTCATGCATCCCCCATCCCCCACACCTTCCCTCTAAAAACCGTCAGTTTTTATAGTTAAGAGTCTGTTTCTTGATTTGTCTCTCTCTTTCTTTTTTCCCCTTTGTTCATTTGTTTAATTTCTTAAATTCCCCACAGAAGTGAAATCCTATGGTACTCATCTTTCTCTGACTGACTTATTTTGCTGATCATTGTACTTCATGCATGTTGTTGCAAATGAAAAGATTGAGAGTGACATCTTTTTAAATAAGTAAGTTGTTAGACCAACTAATATGAGATACACAAAACTAAAACTTTAACTTATACTTACTTGACACTTTAAAACTTTATACTTACAATATTTAAAAGAATATACATGTTCTTCATTCTCTGATGCTAGGGATAGAGAGCAATAAATAAGATGTGATTAAGTCCTTGCAGTAAAGTTGATGTAACTTATTTGGAGAAGCTGATATATACACAGACAATTACAATTTAGGACAAAAAGGAGGATTCGTTTTCATGAAATTTTATTATAAAGTACCAACAAAATACTGCTGAAATGTTGAAGGTAGATCTTCTTCTCACACGTTATACAGCTGCTTTTTTTTTCCTGCTTTTTTTCTTTTCGTCCCTGTCCCAGTGCTTAGGAGGAAGCCTGGGAGAATGGGAGTGAGAGCTGCGCTTTCTGCACCTTTGCTGGGGAAAAGGCAAGGGTAGTAGAAAGGGTGTGTGTACAATGGGGTCCATTTGAATGTAAAGTGTGAATTACTTGGGACTGTCCTGAGGATTGAGGAAAAATGATGCTGAGTAAAAATTACTAATTCCACCTGTTCATCTCACTTCATATAACTCTCCACTCTCCTTGTCCTTTTTCTCTCTGCTCAAATACTTGTTTCCTATTTTGAATTTGTATGGATAAGGTTGGAGATTGCCAGTAGTTCTGAGTAGTGGTTCATATGCTTAATAATGAAATGCTGATTTTCATTCATCAAATCAATAATCTTAAATTATATTAAAACTGAAAACTGTCATAGTGCACCAGGATGAATGCCCTTATCCACTAATGGTGGAAATAAAAATTGATAATACTTTTTGAAAAGTTGACTAATTTTATTTTAAAAGCCTTTAAAATAGTCATGCCTCATAACTTAGTAATTTTGTTTCCAAGGTACATACTGTTTCTTGAGAAAGTAATCTGAAGTACAGAAAAATACTTATGCAACCATGTTTAATAGGACTGTTATTTGTTGTGATAAAAATGAAACCATTTGGCCGACCTATAAACACAGAGAACACACTGATAGTTGCCAGAGGGGAAGAGAGTGGGGGGATGGGCAAAATGGGGAACGGGGAGTGGGAGATTTAGGCCTCCAGTTAGGAAATGAGTAAGTCATGGGAATATAAGGTACAGCATATGGAATATAGTCACTGATGTTGTGTTGCACGGTAACAGATGGTAGCTACTTGCGGTGAACATAGCATAATGGATAGAGAAGTTGAATCACTATGTTGTACACCTAAAACTAATGTAATATTGTGTGTCACCATACGTAAATAAAAAATAAAAAATAATAATAAAAGGCCAATTGAAATCACAAAATTTCATTTAGTAAGTTAATAACTAAACTGCTTATTTTAAAAGTTTTTATTTATTTATTTGACTGAGAGAGAAATTACAAGTAGGCAGAGAGGCAGACAGAGAGAGGAGGAAGCAGACTCCCTGCTAAGCAGAGAGCCTGATGAGGGGCTAGATCCCAGGACCCTGAGATCATGACCTGAGCCGAAGGCAGAGGCCCAACCCACTGAGCCACCCAGGCGCATAAAAGGCCAATTGAAATAAAAAAAACATTTAGTAAGTTAATAACTAAAGTGCTTTTAAATAATTTTTAATGGTATAACAAGGTTCTGTTTTATCACTAAGACAACTAGTCTAATACATATGTAAAGAATGGCACAGATAAAGTCTCGAAATATATTCCTCAGAAACCTTTGAAATTTTTTATTTTAAACCTTAATTCCTCAAGGGTGATTCTCTTTGGAAACATACTATCCGATTAACTATTAATTTGAAAATTTAAAACAATAGGCTTGTTTTTTAGGATGTCTTACTACAGATAAAATCAAAACTCCATTTGAATGAGCAGCATGTACGCTAGACCAGCTCTTTATCCTCAGTGAGGCACTATGTTCACATGGTCTTCCCTTGGTCAACACTGGCGTCATTCTCCCTCTTGTATCCATAGAACAAGAACGGTTCTATCTCACTGATGCCATTACCAGAAAACCTGTATGAAGAGGAGGGGCAGTTATTCATGGCCTTAAATACTTTACTATAGTTTAAGTAGAAAACATCAAACAATACTAGGAATTAAAACCTGTCCCAAGTCCTACCTCGTAATGAGAAATTTTGATATATTTTAAATCTAAATTTTGTTACTGTCTGGAATGGGCATTTGTTAAACATTTGTGGTTAGCATCTTTTAGAAATTCTCCTCTGTGTGTGGTGAGTTTTTGATTTGGAATCCCACTGCCTCAAGAAGATCATAACCAGAGTTTAGTTTTCTATCCTTTCTTGCAGCTGGGGAGTAGTCCTGTCACCTGACGACTGAACAGACTTGGATTCTACAACAAGCAAAGTGAAGAAGCAGCCATAGAAGCAGCAGCATCTGTTGTTGGGGGGGAGGGAGTAGGGGGTTGGGAGGGTTAAAGTTTGCTGGAGAGGCACGAGCTTCAAAGGTGGCAGTGGCAGAGTCCAGGTGTGCTTTGTGCCCTGTGGTAGCACTTGGTCTGACTTTCCTCCTCTGGAGCAGTCTGTCAGTCTAAATTGGGTCTTGTTTCTGGCTACAGAGCCACCAGCGTTGATTATCTGGCTCTCCTAGAGATTCTGTGAATTACCCAACAACTTTTGATAGATTTTTTTTTTTTGCTTAAACTAACTGGACTGAGATTTGTTATTTATACTTAAAAATTCTCCAGTGATAAAATTTGACCTGACCTCATGCTTCCCTTTTATAATGGCCATGGTAATGGGAAAAATGCTTACAATCATATTCTACAGGAGGGAATCTTCAACGTATTGAATCAAGATACCTTTCCTTATCCCAGTTATGGTAGCAAATAATCACAAACTGAATTTTTTTTTCAGGAAGGTAGAAACCTTTTTATTTATTTTTTTATTTAAATTCAGTTAGCCAACAT